TTTTTTTTCTTCCTAGTAAAAAACTGTTATTCCCATTCCCATATCTTTGCCTGAGAGCCCTTTTAATTCTGAAATTGTGATAATTTGGAAGGAAGGGGTTTACCTTCTCCATTTCACAGGAGGCTTTTGCCTTCCTTCACAGACTCCTGTCTTTTCCAACCAAGACAGGGAATTACTGGGGAATTTTTTGGGAAGTTCTTAGGGAACATTTTGAATTTTTTGAAGAATTTTTTGCAATTTTTTGGGATTTTTAAAATTTTTGGGCAACTTTTTAGGAATTTTTTTAATTTTTGAGGGAATTTTTAGGGGATTTTTCGAGGATTTTTTTCTGACATTTTTGGAAATTTTTTTAAATTTTTTTTTAATATTTTGAATTTTGTGAAGAATTTTTGGGATATTTTTTATTTTTTTGGGAATTTTTGGGGAATTTTTTTAGAGCATATTTTGAATTTTTTGCGATTTTTAAAAAATATTTGGGGAATTTTTTTGAAATTTTGGGGGATTTTTTGGGGGAATTTTTAGGGAATATTTTGAATTTTTTGAGGAATTTTTTTTTACTTTTGGGCGATTTTTGGGGGGATTTTTTAGGGAGCATTTTGAAATTTGTGAGGAATTTTGGGCATTTTTTTGAATTTTTGGCGATTTTTTTGGAATTTTTAAGAAAATATTTCGAAATTTTTGGTGGTTTTTTTCTTATTTTTTGTGATTTTTTTGTGATTTTTTGGAGATTTTTTAGGGAACATTTTGAATTTTTTTTAATTTTTGGGGATTTTTTTGTGATTCTTTTGGGAATTTTTGGGAATTTTTAAAAAAAAAATTTCGGATTTTTTGGGAATTTTTGGGCATTTTTTAGAGAATATTTTGATTTTTTAAATGGTTTTTTTCTGATTTTTTGGGGATTTTTTGGGGTTTTTTTGGGGGATTTTTTTAGAAATTTATTTCTTATTCTAGGGCAATTTTTCCATAAATTTTTTTGCCTTTTTTTTATATATTTATTTAATTTTGGGGGATTTTTTTAGGGAATATTTTGAATTTTTTTAAAAATTTTTTTTTATTTTAGGGGAATTTTGGGGGGATTTTTTGGGAATTTTTTAAGGAGTATTTTGATTTTTTGAAGAATTTTTTTGAATTTTTTTGGGGGGGAATTTTTTGGGGAATATTTTGAATTTTCTGAAGAATTTTTTTTATTTTTTTGGCAATTTTTGGAGATTTTTGGGGGATTTTTTTTAAGAAATATTTTGAATTTTTTGAAGAATTTTTTAAATTTTTTGGGGGGAATTTTTGGGGAATTTTTTGGGATTTTTTTAAGGAATATTTTGAATTTTTTGAAATTTTTTTTGAAAATTTTTTAAAATTTTTTTGTGATTTTTTGGGGGCTTCTTTAATAATTTTCTTTCTTATTTTAGGGCCATTTTTCATTAATTTTTTGTGAACTTTTAGGGGTAAAAAACCATTAAAAACCCCCAAAATGGGATTTACCATCCAGGCTGCTGCTGTCGATGTCCAGGGGCCAAAAGGAGCCATCGGAGAGGGGACCTGGGGAGAGATTCCAGAAAATTCCATCAGAATTCCAGGAAAATTCCACGAGAAACACCCCAAAATATTCCCAAAAATTACCCAAAAATTTTAAAAAAATCCCCAAAATTTCCCCAAAAAACTCCAATAAAATTCCCCAAAAGTCCCCCAAAAGACGTGAAAGAAATCCCAAAAAATCTCCCCAAAAACTCCCAAAGAAATTCCATAAAAATTCCCAAAAAATTAGATCAAAATTCCATGAAAAATACCCCAAAAATATTCCCAAAAATTAAAAAAAAATCCCCCCCAAAAATTTCAAAAAATAAAAAAAATTCCCCAAGAAATCTCAAAAAATCCCCAACAAATTCCCCAAAAAATTCTCAAAAAATTCCCCAAAAATTCATTAAAATTACCAAAAACAAAAAAAATCTCAAAAAAAATCCATATAAATTCCAAGAAAATTCCATGACAAACACCCCAAAAATCCCAAAAAATTCCCCAAAAATTCATTAAAATTACCAAAAACAAAAAAAATCTCAAAAAAAATCCATATAAATTCCCAGAAAATTCCATGAAAAACACCCCAAAAATATTCCCAAAAATTCCCAAAAAATTCCCCCAAAAAATTCTAAAAATCCCCCAAAAAGTTCAAATAAAATATCCCCAAAATCCCCCAAAATTCCCCCAAAAATTTCAATAAAATTCCCCAAAAATGTCCCCAAAAATCCCAAAGCAATCCCAAAGAAATTCCATAAAAATTCCCAGAAAATTCCATGAAAAACACCCCAAAAAATCCCCCAAAATTCCCCCAAAAATTTCAATAAAATTCCCCAAAAATGTCCCCAAAAATCCCAAAGCAATCCCAAAGAAATTCCATAAAAATTCCCAGAAAATTCCATGAAAAACACCCCAAAAAATCCCCCAAAATTCCCCCAAAAAAGTCACAAAAAAAATCCCCGAAATTCTCAAAAAAATTCCCCAAAAATCACAAAAAATTCCCAAAAAATTCCCCAAAAAACTCCACAAAAATTCACAAAAAATATCAAAAAATCCCCAAAAATACACCCAAAAATCCAAAGTATTCCCAAAAAAATACCCCCAAAAAATCCCTAAAATTCCCCCAAAAATTCCAATAAAATTCACCAAAAATCCCCCCAAATTTCCCAAAATATTCCAATAAAATTCCATAAAAATCCCCAAAAATTCCCCCAAAAATCCCATAGATTCTGTAAGAATTCTCAAAAAATTCCATTAAAATGCCATTAAAAATACCCCAAAATTATTCCCAAAAAATCCCCCCAAAAATTTAAAAAAAAAATCCCAAAAAATCCCTAAAAAAATCTCAAAGAATCCCAGAAAAATTCCCCAAAAAATCCCTCAAAAATCCCCAAAAAATTTCAAAAAATCCCCCTGAAAAAATCCCCAAAAAACCATCAAAAAATCCCCAAAAATACTCACAAAAATCCCCAAAAATTAAAAAAAACCCTAAAAATTTCCATAAAAAATCCCAAAAAATTCCCCAAAAATTCCAAAGAAAATCCCAAAAAATTCCCAAAAAATCCCCCAAAAATTCCATAAAAATTCCTATAAAATGCTCCCAAAATTCCATAAAAATTGAATTTTTTGGGACTTTTCTTACCTTGATCGTTGGGCATTTTATCTGGAATTTCACCTGGAAAAAAGAGAAAAAATTAAATTAATTTTAATTAAATTTAATTAAATGTTGGGGCTAAAGTTGATAAAAATTAAGGAAAAAAAATCAAAATATTTCTTGAAAAAAATAATAAAAATTTAATTTAAAAATAATAAGAAAATTAGATTTAAAAAGGAAAAATATTTAAAAATTTCATTTAAATGGGCAGAAAAATTAATTAAAAATTAATTAAAAATTAATTGAAATTGTGTGAAAATTTGCAGAAAATTTTATTAAAATGGAAAAAATATTGAATTAAAATTAGAAATAATTGGGGCAAAAAATTGAGAAAAATTGAATTTAAAATTGGAATGAAAATGGGAAAAATTTTATTAAAGTCATTAAAAATTCTATTTAAAATTTTAAAAATCCATTAAAAATCAAATAAATATTGGATTTAAGATTTAATTAAAATTATTTTTAAATTTAATTAAAATCCAAAAAATGTTCAGTAAATATTTTTTAAAATCCTGAAAAATTCCCTAAAAAATTTGAAGTAAAAATGGAAAAAAATCCAAAAAATTCCTAAAAAAATAGGGAAAAAATTCAGGAAAAATTCCTTAAAAATAACAAAAAAATTCCCCCAAAAAATCCTAAAAAATTAAAAAAAAATTGGGAAAAAATTCCTAAAAATTGGGAAAAAAAAACCAAACCTAAAATATTAGGAAAAATTTTTAAAAATTCTAAAAATTAGGAAAAAATTTCTAAGAAATCCCTAAAAATTGAGGGGAAATTGGGCAAAAATTCCTAGAAATTTGCTAAAAATTCCTAAAAAATTGGGTAAATATTGGGGAAAAAATTCCTAAAAAATTGGGGGAAAAGTCCTAAAAAATTGGGAAAAATTCCTGAATAATTGGGAAAAAATTCCCCAAAAATTAAGAAAAAGTTGCTAAAAATTAGGAAGAAAAAGGGAAAAGAAATCCTAAAAATTAGGGAAAATTTGGGAAAATTTGGGAAAAAAATCTGAAAAAATGGGGGAATATTGGCCAAAAAATGGCAAAAAATTCCCATAAATTAAATCCTAAAAGCATCACAAAAAATTCCCCAAAAAATCCTAGAAATATACCCCAAAAATATTCGCGAAAAATCCAAAAAAATCCCACAAATTCCCTCATAAATCCAGATTTTTGAGCAAATTTCCCACCTGTGTGCGTGGCCCCAGACGGGCTCTGAGGACGTTGGGGGCCTGCACCCGAAAGAAGGAAATGGCGAAAAAATCCCCCAAAAATCCAAAAAACATCCTAAAAAATCCCACAAAAATCCCTCATAAATACAGATTTTAAAATTATTTCCCACCTGTGTGTGTGTCCCCACACAGGCTCTGAGGGCATTCCGGGCCTGCACCCGCAAGAAGGAAATGGCGAAAAAATCCCCCAAAAATCTAAAAAAAATCCCAAAAAAACCTCACGATCCCTCATAAATCCAAGTTTTCAAGCAATTTTCCCACCTCTGTGTGTGTCCCCACACGAGCTCTGAGGGCGGGCCGGGCTCATGAGCTTTGCGGGTCTGCACCCACAAGAAGAAAATGGCAAAAAAATCCCACAAAAATAAAAAAAAAATCCCAAAAATCTCCAAAAATCCCACAAATTCCCTCATAAATCCAAATTTTCAAGCAAATTTCCCACCTGAGTGTGTCTGTCCCCACACAGGCTCTGAGAGCGTTCCGGGCGTGTACCCACAAGAAAGAAATGGTGAAAAAATCCCCAAAAAAATCCCCAAAAAAATCCCCAAAGAAATCCCCAAAAATGCCAAAAAAATCCCAAAAAATCCCACAAATTCCCTCATAAAACCAAATTTTGAAGCAATTTTCCAACCTGTTTGTGTGTGTCTGTCCCCACACGAGCTCTGAGGGCAGGCCAGGCTCTGAGGGCATTCCAGGCCAGCACCCACAAGAAGGAAATGGCAAAAAAACCCCAAAAAATCCAAAAAAATTTCCAAAAAAATCCCCAATAAATTCAAATTTCCCACCTGTGTGGCTTTGTCCCCAGATGGGCTCGGAGAGCGGGCCGGGCCCTTGGGCATTGCGGGTCTGCACCCACAACAAGAAAATGGAGGAAAAATCCCAAGAAATCCCTGAAAAATCCCCACAAAATCCCCCAAAATCCAAAAAAAAACCCCAAAAAATCCCACAAAATACAAAAAAACCCAAAAAAATCCCACAAAAATTCAAATTTTCAAGCAAATTTCCTACCTGGGTGTGTGGCCTCAGATGGGTTCTGAGGGCGTTCCGGGCCTACACCCGCAAGAAGGAAATGGCAAAAAAATCCCACAAAAATACCAAAAAATCCCACCAAAAAAAAAAATCAAAAAAATCTCCAAAAATCCCACAAATTCCTTCATAAATCCAAATTTTCAAGCACATTTCCCACCTGTGTGTGTGTGGCCCCACACGGGCTCTGACGGCATCCCAAGCCTGCGCCCGCAAGAATGAAATGGAGAAAAAACGCCAAAAAATCCTAACAAAATCCCCCAACATTCCAAAAAAATAAAGAAAACCCCCAAAAAACCCACAAATTTGCTCATAAATCTAAATTTTCAAGCAATTTCCCCACCTGTGTGTGTGTGGCCCTAGACGGGTTCTGAGGACGTTGGGGGCCTGCACCCATAAGAAGGAAATGGAGAAAAAATCCCCAAAAAACCCCACAAAATCAAAAAAAATCCCACAAAAAAAAAATCCTAAGAAATCCCACAAAAATCCCTCATAAATCCAGATTTAATTATGTTTTTTCACCTATGTGCGTCTGCCCCCACACGGGCTCTGAGGGCGTCCCAAGCCTGCGCCCTCAAGAATGAAATGATGAAAAAATCCCAACAAAATCCCACAAAATACAAAAAAATCCTAAAAAATCCACAAATTCCCTCACAAATCCAAATTTTCAAGCAAATTTCCCACCTGTGTGTGTGTGGCCCCACACGGGCTCTGAAGGTGTTGTGGGCCTGCACCCACAAGAAGGAAACGGCAAAAAACCCCAAAAGAAATCCCAAAAAATCTCAAAAAATCCTACAAAAATCCCAAAAAAAATCCCCACAAAATCCCACAAAAATCCACACTTTCAAGCAAATTTCCCAGCTGTGTGTGTGTGGCCCCAGACGGGTTCTGAGAGTGTTCCAGGCCTGCACCCACAAGAAGGAAATGGCAAAAAAACCCCAAAAAATCCCCCATAAATTCAAATTTCCCACCTGTGTGGCTTTGTCCCCAGACGGGCTCGGAGAGCGGGCCGGGCCCTTGGGAGTTCCTGGCCTGGACTCTGAAGAAGGAGCCGGAGCCCAGCAGCGCCTCAGGGACGGGCAGCGAGAGGCGCTCGGCTCCCACCCACTGCGGCCTCCATTGCGACAGAGGAGCTGAGGCAACCGGCGAGGAAAAAATGGTGTAACCTAAGGAAAAAATTAAGATTATTTTAAGGAAAAGTTGAGGAAAGTTTGGGTATTTTTTCAGAATTTTTGGGGATTTTTTTGGGGATTTATTTGGGGCAGTTTTGGCGCCTGGGGTTGGGCCAGGCAGCGTGAGGCGCTCGGCTCCAACCAATGTGGCCTCCATTGGGACAGGGGGGCTGAGGCAACCGGCGAGGAAAAAATGGTGTAACCTGCAAAAAAAATTAAGATTATTTTGGGGAAAAGTTGTGGAAAATTTGAGGATTTTTGGAGAATTTTTGGGGATTTTTTGGTGATTTTTTTCCCAATTTTTTAGGGGGTTTTTTTGAATTTTTCCCTAATTTTTGGGGTTTTTTTTCCTAACTTATTGGTGGTTTTTTTACGGATTTTTTTTTAAATTTTTGGAGAATTTATTCTATTTTTGGGGAATTTTTTGGCATTTTTGGATGATTTTTTAGAAAATTTTTCCAGAATTTTTGGGTATTTCTTGGAAAATTTTTGGGAATTTTTTTGATTTTTTCCTAATTTTTGGAGATTTTTAGGGGATTTTTGGGGAATTTTTTCTGATTTTTGGGGATTTTTTTAGAATTTTTTGGGTATTTTTTCCTAATTTTTTACACTTTTGGGGGATTTTTTGGGATTTTTTCCCTAATTTTGTGGGATTTTTAGAAATTTTTTTAGGATTTTTTAGGATTTTTTTTCCCATTTTTTAGGTTTTTTTTAGGATTTTTGGAAGATTTTTATCTAATTTTTAAGATTTTTTCCTAATTTTTTTCTTTTTTAAATTTGGGGATATTTTAGGAAATTTTTCCAGAATTTTGGGGTATTTTTGTGGATTTTTTCCTAATTTTTGGGGATGTTTTCCTAATTTTTTGGAGATTTTTTTAGGATTTTTTTTGGAATTTTAAAGGAATTTTTTCCCATTTTTTAGGATTTTTAGGGAAATTTTTCAAGGATTTTTTTTATTTTTTTGCGGGAATGTTTCAAGGGATTTTTAGGGATTTTTTCCTAATTTTTCGAGAATGTTTTCCCAATTTTTTTTTATTTTTTCCCCCAGTTTTTTAGCATTTTTTCCCTCATATTTGGGGATTTTTGGGGATTTTTTGGGGCAGCGAGAGGCGCTCGGCTCCCACCCACTGCGGCCTCCATTGCGACAACCTGCAAAAAAATTAAAATATTTTTGGGAAAAATTGAGGAAAGTTTGGGGATTTCTTAAGAATTTTTTGGGATTTTTTTCAGAATTTTTTAGGTTTTTTTGCGGATTTTTGGAGGGACTTTCTCCAATTTTTAGGATTTTTTAAAAATTTTTTCAGATTTTTAGAGGATTTTTGGGTGATTTTTTGGGAATTTCTTGGGAATTTTTCGAGAATTTTTTTGGGATGTTTTTGATGATTTTCTGGGAATTCTCGAGTATTTTTTTGAAAAATTTTGGGTATTCTGTGGGGAATTCTTTTCCTGATTTTTGGGGATTTTTCAGGGGATTTTTGGAGAATTTTTTCCTTAATTTTTGGGGGATTTTTTTGAAATTTTTCAGATTTTTGGGAGATTTTTGAGGGATTTTTTGGGAATTTTTTTCTAATTTTTTGGGAATTTTATAACATTTTTTTGTGATTTTTTTTTTTAGGATTTTTTTGATTTATTTTCCCCCAATTCTTGGGAATTGTTTCTTAATTTTTTTTGATTTTTTTTAAATTTTTTTGAATTTTTTCAGGGATTTTTTCGCGATTTTTTGGGGACTTTTTGGCCAATTTTTCACCGATTTTTACAATTTTTTTAAAATTTTTTCCTTCAATTCTGAGCCATTTTTGGGATTTTTTTGGGAATATTTTGGAATTTTTTCCCTGTGATTTTGCCGTTGGCCTCCAGCGGGGGCTGCCAGCTCAGCAGAACATTCCGGGATTTTTAATTGATTTTCCATGGAATTTTAACTGAGAATTTCAATGGAATTTTGGGGAAATTTTGGGGAATTTTTTCAGAATTTTTTGGGGATTTTTTTTGAGATTTTTGGGGGATTTTTTTGGGAATTTTGAAAGGAATTTTTGAGGATTTTTTGGGGGATTTTTTGGGAATTTTGGGGGGGGTTTTTGGGATTTTTTTCCCTAATTTTTGGGGGATTTTTTGCCCAATTTTTGACCGATTTTTACAATTTTTTTTTCATTTTCCCACAGATTTTTCTTTAATTGAAATGGAATATTTTGGGAATTTTTTAAGAATTTTTGGGGATTTTCGGGGGCATTTATTGGGAATATTTTTAGCAATTTTGGGGGGATTTTTAAGGGATTTTTTTCCCTAATTTTTGGGAGATTTTCTGGGAATTTTGAGGAACTTTTTTGCAATTTTTGGAGGATATTTTGGCATTTTTTTCAGAATTTTGGGGGGATTTTTTTTAATTTTTGGGCAATTTTTTTTTGAATTTTTTGGGTGATTTTTTTGGCCATTTTTTCCCAATTTTTGACGATTTCTCTGGCAGCTTTGGATCGATTTTTATGATTTTTTTTTTCATTTTTTCACGGATTTTTCTTTCCTCTAAATTCCATTTTTGGGGGGTTTTTTTGGGAATTTTGGGTTTTCTTTACCTGTGATTTTGCCGTTGGCCTCCAGCGGGGGCTGCCAGCTCAGCAGAACATTCCGGGATTTTCCAGGCTGGGAAATCACCGTGACATCCCTGGGAGGGGAGCTGGGGGCTGCAAAATGGGGAAAAAATGGGAAGTTTGGGGAAAATGGGGAAATGGGGAAAATTGGGAGAAAATTGGGGGGAAAATGGGGAAAAAATGGGGAAAAATTAGAATTTTTGGGGAAAAAATGGGGAATAAATGGAGGAAAAATTGGAGAAAAATGGGAATTGAATGGGAAAAAATGGGGGAAAATGGGGGAAAAATGGGAAAAAATTGGGGGGAAATTGGGAGAAAAATGGGGGAAATTGGGAAAAAATTGGGGAAAAAATGGGGAAAAATGAGATTTTTTGGGGAAAAATGGGGAATAAATAGAGGAAAAATTGGGGTAAAATTACGGTAAAATGGAAATAAAATGGGGAAAAATTGGGGGGAAAATGGAGAAAAAATGAGAATTTTTGGGGAAAAAATGGGGAATAAATGGAGAAGAAATTGGAGAAAAAATGGGAATTAAATGGGAAAAAAATGGGGGAAAATGGGAAAATTTGGGAATAAAATGGGAGAAAAATGGAAATAAAATTGGGGGAAAATTGGGGAAAAAATGGGGAAAAAAAGATAATTTTTGGGAAAAAAATGGGGAAAAAAATGGAATAAAATGGGTGAAAATTGGGGGAAAAATGGAGAAAAAATGGGGAATAAAATCAGGGAAAAATGGGGAAAATAATGGGGAAAATGGAGGAAAAATCGGAGAAAAAAGGGAATTAAATGGGAAAAAATGGGGGAAAAAGGGGGAGAAAATTGGAATAAAATGGGGGAAAAAGAAATTGGAGAAAAAATGGGAATTAAATGGGAAAAAAATGGGGGAAAATGGGAAAATTTGGGAATAAAATGGGAGAAAAATGGAAATAAAATTGGGGGAAAATTGGGGAAAAAATGGGGAAAAAAAGATAATTTTTGGGAAAAAAATGGGGAAAAAAATGGAATAAAATGGGTGAAAATTGGGGGAAAAATGGAGAAAAAATGGGGAATAAAATCAGGGAAAAATGGGGAAAATAATGGGGAAAATGGAGGAAAAATCGGAGAAAAAAGGGAATTAAATGGGAAAAAATGGGGGAAAAAGGGGGAGAAAATTGGAATAAAATGGGGAAAATAATGGGGAAAAATTGAGAAAAACTGGGGAATAAAAGAGAATTTTTAGGGAAAAATGGGGAAAAATTGAATTGGAGAAAAAATGGGAATTAAATGGGAAAACGGGGGAAAATGGGGGGAAAATGGGGAATAAAATGGAGAAAAATTGGAATAAAATGGGGAAAATAATGGGGAAAAATTGAGAAAAACTGGGGAATAAAAGAGAATTTTTAGGGAAAAATGGGGAAAAATTGGGGAGAAAATGGGGAATAAATGGGGGAAAAATGGAGAAAAAAAATCAGGAAAAAATGGTGGAAAATTGGAAAAAATTTTCAATAAAATGGGAGAAAAATGGAAAGAAAATTGGGGGAAATTGTGGGAAAATTGGAGGAAAAATGGGGGAAAATTGGGAGAAAATTGGGGAAAAAAGGGGGGAAAATTGGGGAAAAATGGGTGTGAAATTGGGAGGAAAATGGGAGTAGAATTGGAAGGAAAATGGGAGGAAAATTGGGTGGAAAATGGCGGAAAAATGGGGAAAAAATGGCAAAAAAAAGGCAAAAAATTGGCAAAAAAATCAGAAAAAATTGGAAAAAAAAATTGAAAAATTGGGGAAAAATTAGGGAACAATAGGAGGAGTTTTAAATATTTTTTTGTCAAAAAATTTTATTTTCTGGGTAATTTCCTTCCATGCCTCGAGGGTGGTGGCTGGAGCGGCGCCCCCTGGTGAGCAGGAGGGGAAATGGGGAAATAATGGGGAAAAATGGGAATAAAAAATTGGAGAAAAAATGGGCAAAAATTGGGGGAAAAATGGGGAAAAATTGGGGAAACATTGGAAAAAAATTGGGGGGAAAAATGGGGGAATAAATGGGGGTAAATGGGGAATTAATTGGGAATAAATGGGGGAAGAATGGGGAAGAATAGGGAAAAATTGGGGAAAAATAGGGAAAAAATGGGACAAAAATTTGGGAAAAAATGGAGAAAAAATGGCGGGAAAATGGTGAAAAATTGGGGAAAAATTAGAGAATAAATGGGAAAAAATTGGAGAAAAATAGGGGGAAAATAGGGAGGAAATGGGGGAAATGGGGAAAAATTGGGCAAAAATTGAGCGGAAAATAGAGAAAAAATGGCGAAATTTGGGAAAAATTGGGGTAAAATGGGAGTAAAATAGGGAGGAAAATGGCAGAAAAATGGGGAAAATTTGAGGGAAAATGGGACAAAAATTGGGGGAAAAATGGAGAAAAAAAGGGGGAAAAATGGGAATAAAATGGTAAAAAAATTGGGAAAAAATTCAGAAAAAAATTGGAAAAAAATCGGAAAAATTGGGGGAAAATTAGGGAACAATGGGAGGGGTTTTTTATTTGTTTTTATGTAAATTTTTTAAATTTTTGGATGTTTTTCTTACCTGCCTCGTGGGTGGTGGCCTGAGCCGTCATGCTCCAGGGGCTGGAGTGGCGCCCGCTGGTGAGCAGGAGGGGAATGGGGAAATAAAGGGGAAAAATGGGGAAAAATGGGAATAAAATGGAGAAAAATTGGGGGAAAAATGGGAATAAAATGGGACCAAAACTGGGAGGTAAATGGAGAAAAAATGGGGGGGAAAATGGCGGAAAAATGGGAGAAAAATCGGGTAAAAATTGGGGAAAAATGAGGAAAAATTGAGGAAAAAATAGGGAAAATGGGAATAAAATGGGACTAAAATAGGGAAGAAAATGGAGAAAAAATGGTGGAAAAATGGGGAAAAAATGCCAAAAAATAGGGAAAATTGGTGGAAATTAAGGAAAATTTGGGAATTCATACCTAAATTCTTTCTCCTGTCACTCTAAAATGGTGGAAAAATGGGGAAAAAATGCCAAAAAATAGGGAAAATTGGGGGAAATTAAGGAAAATTTGGGTAAAAATGGGGAAAAAATGGGACAAAAATGGGGGAAAAAATGGAGAAAAAATGGGTAAAAATTGGGGGAAAAAGGGGGAAAAATCAGAAAAAATGGGAACAAAATGGGACAAAAATTGGGGGAGTAATGGAGAAAAAATGGGGGAAAATTAGGAAGAATTGGGGAAAAAATGGCAAAAAATGGCAGAAAAATGGGGAAAAATTGGGAGAAAATGGGGACTAAAATTGGGAGGAAAATAGCGGAAAAATGGGGAAAAAATAGAGGAAAATGGGTAAAAAATGGGGGAAAATTAAAGGAGGATTGGGGAAAAATGGGGAGAAAATGGGACAAAAATAGGGAAAAGATGGAGAAAAAATGGGAAAAAATTGGCAAAAAATGGGGAGATATTGGGGGAAAATGGGGAAAAATTGGGGGCAAAATGGGGAAAAATTGGGGGAAAAAATGGGGAGAAAATTTGGAAAAAAAGGAGAAAAAATGGTGGAAAAATGGTGAAAAAATGGGGACAAAAATGAGGAAAAATGGCAAAAAAATGGCAAAAAATGGCAGAAAAATGGGGAAAATGGGTGAAAAATTGGGGAAAATTGGCAAAAAATGGGAATAAAATTGGACTAAAATTGGGAGGTAAATGGAGAAAAAATGGTGGAAAAATGGGAAAAAATGTCAAAAAATGGCGGAAAAATGGGTAAAAAATGGGGGAAAATTGGGGAAAATTTGGGGGAAAATTGGGAAAAAATAGAGATAAAATGGGACTAAAATTGTTGTGAAAATGGAAGACAAATGTAGAAAAAAATGGGGAAAAAATAGCAAATAAAATGGCAAAAAAATCAGAAAAAAATCAGAAAAAAAATGGAAAAAAAATCGGGCAAAAATAGGAAAAATCGGGGAATTATGGGAAATTATTTTTCAGCATGTTTTGAGTGAAAATTGTGATTTTTGGGGTAATTTCCTTACCTGCCTCGTGGGTGGTGGCCTGAGCCGTCATGCTCCAGGGGCTGGAGCGGCGCCCCCTGGTGGCCATGACCGAGAACTGGTAGCGGGTGCTGGGTCTGAGCCCCGGCACCGCGAGGGTTAACGCCGTGGTGTCCAAAGTCTGGAATCAGTAAAAATTAATGAGTTCGTTAGGGCTTTATGGGCTGAGGGCAGTGGGGAAGGAAGGGAGGAAAAAATCCTGAAAAAATTCCGTGAAAAAATGGGGAAAAATGGGGGAAAAATGGAGGAAAAAATAACCCGAAAATATTAAAAATGTTGCCTGAAAATTCTATAAAAAATTCCCTAAAACGGCCCAAAAAATCCCCAAAAAGTTCAAAAAAAATCTAAAAAAATTCAGCAAAAATCCCCAAAAAATTCCTTAAAAATGCCCCAAAAAATTCACAAAAAATTCCAAAAATTTCCACAAAAATTTCCATAAAAATCCCGTAAAAATCCCAAAAAAATTCCATAAAAATCCACAAAAAATTCCTAAAAAATTCCTTTAAAAAATCCCCAAAAAATTTCAAAAATTTCCACAAAAATTTCCATAAAAATCCCGTAAAAATCCCAAAAAAATTCCATAAAAATCCACAAAAAATTCCTAAAAAATTCCTTTAAAAAATCCCCAAAAAATTTCAAAAATTTCCACAAAAATTTCCATAAAAATCCCGTAAAAATCCCAAAAAAATTCCATAAAAATCCACAAAAAATTCCTAAAAAATTCCTTTAAAAAATCCCCAAAAAATTTCAAAAATTTCCACAAAAATTTCCATAAAAATCCCGTAAAAATCCCATAAAAATCCACAAAAAATTCCTCAAAAAATCCACAAAAATTCACAAAAAATCCCAAAAATTTCTGCAAAAATTTCCATTAAAATCCCCCCAAAAATCCCCAAGAATTTCCATAAAAATCCCTAAAAATCCACAAAAAAATCCTAAAGAAATCCTCAAAAAAATTCCCAAAAAATTCCCTAAAAATTCCCAAAAAATGTCCCAAAAAATTCCGAAAAAAACCCAAAAAATTCCCCAAAAATTTCCATTAAAATAGAAAAAAAATTCCCCAAAATTTGCCAAAAAATTCACAAAAAATTCACAAAAAAATCCCCCAAAATTTCCACAAAAATCCTGAATAAAGTCTCTCAAAAAATCGACCAAAAAATTCTCAAAAAATTCCCAAAAAATTTCTATAAAAATCCCCTGAAAATCCCTAAAAATCCAAAAAAATTCCCAAAAAACCCACTTAAAAATCCCTAAAAATCGACAAAAAATTCTCAAAAAGTTCCCAAAAAATCCACAAAAATATCCATAAAAATCCCCCAAAATCCCTTAAAAATCGACAAAAAATTTCCTAAAAAATCCCATTAAAATTCCCAAAAAATCCCCAAAAGATCATCCAAAAATCCCATTAAAAATCCCCAAAAATTCCCATTACAATCCTCCAAAAATCACCAAAAACTCCTCAAAAAAATCCACAAAAAAATCTATAAAAAACAAAAAAATTCCAGCAAAATTCCCCCAAAAATTCAAAAAAATCCCAAAAACTTCCCCAAAAATCCCCAAAAATTTCCATTAAAATAGAAAAAAGAATCCCAAAAATTCCTAAAGAAAATCCTCCAAAATTCCCATAAAAATCCTCAAAAAATTTAAAAAAAATCCCCAAAAAATCCCCCAAAATCCAAATTAAATAAAGAAAATGCCAAAAATTAAAAAAAAAATTCCTTAAAATGCAAAAAAATTCCTAAAAATTCCCCTAAAAATTCCATTACAAATCCCCCAAAATCCAAATAAAATCCCTAAAAAAATCCCAAAAAAATCCATTAAAATTCCCAAAAAAATTCCTAAAATTCCCCAAATTAATCCCAAAAAAATCCCTAAAACTTTCCCAAAAAATCCCTAAAAATTGCAATAAAAATCCCCAAAAAAGTCCCCAAAAGTCTCCCATAATTTTCCAAAAAATCTCAAAAATAAAAAATTAAAAATCCCCCAAAAATCAAAAAAATCCACTAAAAATCCCAAAAATCCCACGAAAAATCAGGAAAAAATACCCAAAAAAAATGCCCCAAATTTCCCCAAAAATTTTATTAAAATTCTCCAAAAATGTCATTAAAAATGGGAAAAAATCCATTAAAATTTGAAATAAACGTAATAAAAATAATCCCAAAAAATTCCCCAAAAAAATTAAAGATATTTTCCTAAAAAAACCAAAAAAATTCCATTAAAAATCCTCCAGAATTTCCAAAAAAATTCCTAAAAAATTCCCAAGAAGTCCCAAAAAATTTTTTTAAAAATCAAAAAAAATCTAGAAAAATCCTGAAAATTTTCTAAAAATTCCCAAAAAATCTCCCAAAAATTCTAAAAAAATCCTAAAAAAATCCATTAAAATTTCCCCAAAACTCTCAAAAAATATTTTAAAAAATCCTAGAAAATCCCAAAAAAATTCCACAAAAATCCCCCAAAAATTCCCAAAAATATTTTTTTTTAAAAAATCCCCCCAAAAAATCTGAAAAAATCCAAAAAATTCCATAAAATTTCCCAAACAATTCTTTAAAAAATCCCCCAAAATTCCTAAAAATTCCCCAAAAAATTCCCAAAATTCTTTAAAAAAACCCCAAAAAACTCTAAAAAATCCCCCAAAATTCCCAAAAAAATTCCCAAAAACTTCTTTCAAAAAAACCCCAAAAAAGTCTAAAAAAATCCACAAAAATTCCTTTAAAATTTCCCAAAAAATTCTTTAAAAAATCCCAAAAAATCCTGAAAAATCCCCAAAAAATCCCCAAAAATTCACAAAAAATTCTAAAAAATATCCCCAAAATTCCATTAAAATTCCCAAAAAATCCTTTTAAAAATCCCAAAAATTTCCCCAAAAAATCTTTTAAAAATCCTCCAAAAATGCCATAAAAATTCCCAAATAAATTCAATTAAACCCCAGAAAATTCCACGAAAATTCATCCAAAAATTCCATTTAAATTCCTGAAAAATTCCCCAAAAAATTTCCTTTAAAATTCCCCAAAAAGTCCCAAAAAATTAAAAAAAAATCATAAAATTTTCATTAAAATTCTGTGTAAAAAATCCAAAAATTTCATTTAAAATTCCCAAAAATTCATTAAAATTCAAAAAAAATTCCCAAAAAATTCAATTTAAAACAATGAAAATTCCAGGAAAAATTGGGAGAAATTTTGAAAGAAATTTGGAAAAAATGGGGGAAAATTGGAAATAAATTCGGAAAAAAATTGGGAGAAAATGGAGAAAAGTTTGGGGAAAAAATGAGAAAATTTAGGAATAAAATTGGGGGAAAATTTGGGAAAAATGGGAATAAAATGAGGAAAAAATGGGTAAAATTTAAAGAAAATTTAAGAGAAAAAAGTGGAATTAAAGGAGGGAAAATAAGTTAAAAATTGGAGGAAAATTGGGAAATATTTGGGAAAAAGTGGGGGGAAAATTTTGAAAAAGATTGGAGAAAATTGGGGAAAATTCGTGGGAAAATGGCAAAAAAATTAGAAAATTTGGCTGAAAATTGGGAAAAAAGGGGAAAAAATTTGGTTAAAAAAATGGGGGAAAATGTGAGGTAAAATTGAGAAAAATTGGGGGAAAATGGAAAAATTTGGGGGAAAAATTGGGAAAAAATTGGGAAAATTTGGAGAAATATTTGGAGAAAAATTGGGAAAAAATTGGAAAAAATTGGGGAAAAATTATGAAAATATGGAGAAAAATTGGGGAAAATTGGGGGAAATTTGGGAAAAATGTGGACAAAAATTGGAGAAAATTGGGGGAAAATTGGGAAAACTTTGACGGAAAATTGGGGGAATATTAGAGAAAAATTGGGGGGAAATTGGGAAAAAATTGGAAAAAATTGGGGAAAAATGGAAAAATTTGGGGGAAAATTGCCTGAAAATTAGGAATAAAATTACGAAATAATTGGGAAAATTAGGGGAAAAAATGGTAAAAATTGGGGGAAAATTTTGGAGAAAATTAGGGGAAAAACTGGGGGGAAATTGGGGGAAAATTGGGAAAAAAAGGAAAAAAATTGGAAAAAAATCGGGAAAAAATTGGGAGAAAAATGGGAATAAAATGGAGAAAATTTCAGGTAAAATTGGGAAAAAAATTGGAATTTTTTGAGGAATTTTTTTTATTTTTTTGAGAAATTTTTGGGATCTTTGGATGAAATTTTGGGGAATTTTTAGGAAGTTTTGGGGAATATTTGTGGATTTTTTGAGCATTTGTAATGGATTTTTTTACCAAAAAATCACCTAAAAATAGGGGAAAAAATCGAAATCTTTTTTCTTTTTTACCTTCTACTTTGCATTGACAGAGAAGCTGCTCCTCCAGCACACGGTGTGAAATCGAGGCTGGGAATTCTCCGGGAATTTCTCCCAAATTGAGGGAATTCTGGGCTCGGAAGTGGGGGGAAAAAATGGGAAAAATGGGGAAAAAGTTGGGGGGAAATTGGGGAAAATTTGGAGAAAAATTGGGGAAAAAAATCAGGAAAATTTGGGGAAAATTAGGGAAAAAATTGAAAAAAATTGGGAAAAATTGGAGAAAAATTGGGAAAAAATTAGAAAAAATTGGGGAAAATTGGGAAAAAAATGGAAAAAATTTGGAAATATTGGAAAAAATGGGAAAAATTATGGGGGAAATTAAGGGAAAATTGGGGAAAATTGGAGAAAAAATGGGAAAAAATTAGAAAAAATTGGGGAAAATTGGGAAAAAAATGGAAAAAATTTGGAAATATTGGAAAAAATGGGAAAAATTATGGGGGAAATTAAGGGAAAATTGGGGAAAATTGGAGAAAAAATGGGGAAATTTTGGAGAAAAATTGGGGAAAAATTGGGGAAAATTTGGAGAAAAATTGGAGAAAAATTGGTGAAATTGGGAAAAAATTGGAAAAAAATTGGAAGAAATTGGGGAAAATTGGGGAAAAAAGTGGTAAAAACTTGGCCAAAAATTGGGAAAAATTGGCAAAATATGGGCAAAAAATGGGAAAAAATTGGAGAAAAATTTGATGAAAATTATGGAAAAATTGGAGAAAAATTTGAATTTTTTGGGCAATTTTTGGGGGATTTTTTGGGGATTTTTTGATGCAAAAACCACCTAAAAATAGGGAAAAAAATGGAATTTTTTTAGAATTTTTACCTTATACTTTGCATTGACTGACGAGCTGCTCCTCCAGCGCACGGTGTAGAATCGAGGCTGGGAATTCTCCGGGAACTTCTCCCAACCTTTGGGAATTCTGGGCTCGGAGCCGTCGGCCCAGGACACCCGGACGGAGTCGGGGCCCAGGGGGAGGAGCTGCAGCCCCACGGGGGGCGGGAGGGGAGGGAGCGGGGGAGTGGGAAAAATGGGGAAAAATAGCAGAGAAATTGGGAAAAAATTGGGGAAAAATATCAGAGAAAATGGGGGAAAATTGGGGGAAAAATGGGGAAAAATTGGGGGAAAATTGGGGAAAATGGGAAAAAAGAAAGAATAAAATGGGGGGAAATGGGAATAAAATGGGGAAAATTGAGAAAAAATTGAGGGAAAATTGGGATAAAATTGAGGGAAAATTGGGGAAAATTGGGATAAAATGGGGGAAAAATAGAGAAATAATTGGAAAAAATGGGAATAAAATGGGGATAAAAGGGGGAAAAATTGCGGACAAATTGGGGGAAATTAGTGGGAAAATTGGGGAAAAATTTGGAAAAAAATGGGAAAAAATTGACAAAAAAAGGGGATAAAATGGGGAAGAAATTGGGGGAAATTGGGGAAAAATTGGGGAGAAATTGGAATAAAATGGGAAAAAAATTGGGGGGAAATTGGGGAAATATTGGGGAAAATTGAGGAAACATTGGGGAAAAAATGGGAATAAAACGGGGATAAATTGGGGAAAAATGGGGGAAGATGGGGAAAAATTTGGGGGAAATTGGAATAAAATTGGGAAATAATGGGGAAAAATTAGGAAAAAATTAGGGGAAAATTGGGAATAAAATGGAAAATAAATGGGGATAAAATGAGGGAAAAAACAAAATAAAATGGGACAAATCAAATAAAAAAATGAAAATGGAAATAATTTGGAAAGAAGAAGAAAAAGAAAAGATTAATAAAAATTCAGGAATTTTCAGCAGAATTTGTTCCACTTTTTATTTCCCCCAATCCCAGAATTCCCAAAAATCCCAATTTTTCCCCGTTTTATCTCAAATTTTCCCCCATTTTATTCCAAAATTTCCCCATTTTTCCGCATTTTATTCCCAGTTTTACCCAAATTTTTCCCAATTTTTTCCCAATTTTTTCCTAATTTTCCCCCCAAATAAACGCAATTTTAATTAATTTTTAATTAATTTTTAATTAACGTACACTTAACTTTACCTCCAGACCTGGTGGTTGCACTCTCATAGAGAGGAATTCCCTCTGCCCCATTTTTCTCCAATTTTCCCTCTATTTTCCCCCAATTTTCCCCATTTCATTCCAAATTTTTCCTAATTTTTCCCAATTTTATTCCAATTTTTTCTCCAATGTCCCCCCCATTTTACCTTATTTTTTCCCCAACAATTCCAATTTTTTCTAAATTTTCCCCCCATTTTATTACAATTTTTTCTCCAATTTTCCCCCATTTTATTCCCATTTTCCCCCAATTTTCCCTCAAAAAATTCAATTTTTCCCCCAATTTTCGCCAACTTTCGCCCAATTTTTTCTCAATTTTCCCCCAATTTACACACGATTTTTAATGAATGTTTAATTAACATTTAATTAACTTTACCTGCAGCCCGGGTGGTGGCGCTCTCATAGAGGGGAATTCCCTCTGCCCCATTTTATCCCAATTTTTCCCAATTTTGTTCCAATTTTTTCTCCAATTTCCCCCCATTTTCTCCCCAAAAATTCCAATTTTTTCCCCAATTTTCCTCCGCTTTATTCCTGATTTTTCCCCATTTTATTCCCATTTTTTCTCAATCTTTCTCCAAATTTTTCCCAATTTTCCCCAATTATTTCCCTTTTTCCCTCATTTTCCCCCATTTTACTCCCATTTTATTTCCATTTTTTCCTCATTTTATTCCAATTTTCTCCCAATTTTCTCCCAATTTTTCCCCATTTTTCCCAATTTTATTCCAAATTTTTCCCAATTTTCTCCCATTTTATTCCTCCAATTTTTTCTCCAATTTCCCCCCATTTTCTCCCCAAAAATTCCAATTTTTTCCCCCTTTTCCCACAATTTTTCCTCAAATTTTCCCCAATTTTTTCCCCATTTTTTCCCATTTTTTCCCAATTTTATTCCAAATTTTTCCCAATTTTCCCCCATTTTATTCCCATTTTTCCCCCAAATTTTCCTCAATTTTTCCCCCAATTTTTCCTCAATTTTTCCCCCAATTTTTCCTCAATTTTTCCCCCAATTTTTCCTCAATTTTTCCCCCAATTTTTCCTCAATTTTTCCCCCAATTTTTCCTCAATTTTTCCCCCAATTTTTCCTCAATTTTTCCCCCAATTTTTCCTCAATTTTTCCCCCAATTTTTCCTCAATTTTTCCCCCAATTTTTCCTCAATTTTTCCCCCAATTTTTCCTCAATTTTTCCCCGATTTCCCCCCAATTTTTCCCCCAATTTCCCCCAATTTTTTCCCATTTTCCACACATTTTTCCCCAATTTTTCCCTCAATTTTTTCCCCCAAAATTCCAATTTTTTCCCCCTTTTCCCACAATTTTTCCTCAAATTTTCCCCAATTTTTTCCCACTTTTCCCACAATTTTTCCTCAAATTTTCCCCAATTTTTTCCCCATTTTTTCCCATTTTTTCCCAATTTTATTCCAAATTTTTCCCAATTTTCTCCCATTTTATTCCCATTTTTCCCCCAAATTTTCCTCAATTTTTCCCCCAATTTTTCCTCAATTTTTCCCCGATTTCCCCCCAATTTTTCCCCCAATTTCCCCCAATTTTTTCCCATTTTCCACACATTTTTCCCCAATTTTTCCCTCAATTTTTTCCCCCAAAATTCCAATTTTTTCCCACTTTTCCCACAATTTTTCCTCAAATTTTCCCCAATTTTTTCCCCATTTTTTCCCATTTTTTCACAATTTTATTCCAAATTTTTTCCCAATTTTATTCCAAATTTTTCCCCAATTTTTCTCAATTTTTGTCCAATTTTTCCAGATTTTCCTCCATTTTATTCCCAATTTCCCCCCAATTTTTTTCCCATTTTTTCTGCATTTTATTCTCAATTTTTCCCCAATTTTCCCCATTTTATTCCAAATTTTCCCCCATTTTTTTCTCATTTTCTTCTAAATTTTCCCCCCATTTTTCCCTCAATTTTTTCCCCCAAAATTCCAATTTTTTCCCACTTTTTACCCAATTTTTCCCCATTTTTCCCCAATATTTTCCCAATTTTCCCCCAATTTTTTCTCCTTTTATTCCAAATTTTTCCCCAATTTTTCTCAATTTTTGTCCAATTTTTCCAGATTTTCCTCCATTTTATTCCCAATTTCCCCCCAATTTTTTTCCCATTTTTTCTGCATTTTATTCTCAATTTTTCCCCAATTTTCCCCATTTTATTCCAAATTTTCCCCCATTTTTTTCTCATTTTCTTCTAAATTTTCCCCCCATTTTTCCCTCAATTTTTTCCCCCAAAATTCCAATTTTTTCCCACTTTTTCCCCAATTTTTCCCCACTTTTCCCCCAACTTTTTCTCAATTTTTCCCAATTTTTTTCCCCAATTTTATTCCAAATTTTTCCCCAAAAAATTCCAATTTTCCCCCAATTTTTTCCCAATTTTTCCCCCAACTTCCCCCCATTTTTTCCCCCATTTTTCCCCAAATTTCCCCCAATTTTTCCCCAACTTTTCCCCCAATTTTTTTCTCATTTTATTCTAATTGTTTCCCAATTTTTCCCCAAGTTATTCCCAATTTCCCCCAATTTTACCCCAATTATTTCCCATTTTTTCCACAATTTTTCCCACAATTTTCCCCCATTTTATTCTAATTTTTCCCCAATTTTTCCTGAATTTTATTCCAAATTTTCACCTAATTTTCCCCCATTTTCCCCCAATTATTGCTTCATTTTATTCACATTTTTCCTCAACTTTCGTCCAAATTTTTCCCAATTTTTTCCCAATTTTTCCCCATTTTATTCACATTTTTTCCCCTTTTTTCCCCAATTTTCCCCCATTTTATTCCAATTTTATTCCCATTTTTTCCTCATTTTATTACCATTTCTTCCCCAATTTTTCCCTCATTTTTTCCCCAAAAATTCAATTTTTTTCCCAATTTTTCCTCAATTTTCCCTCAATTTTTTCCCCAATTTTTCCCCATTTTTTTCTCATTTATCCCCATTTTTTTCCCAATTTTCCCCCAATTTTTTCTCATTTTATTCCAAATTTTTCCCAAATTTTTCCCCATTTTTTTCTCATTTATCCCCATTTTTTTCCCAATTTTCCCCCAATTTTTTCTCATTTTATTCCAAATTTTCCCATTTTTCCCCATTTTTCCCTAAAAATTCCAATTTTTTTCTCATTTTTCCCCCATTTTCCCCCCAATTTTTCCCCAAAGTTTCCCCCAATTTCCCCCCATTTTATTCCAAATTTTTCCCAAATTTTTCCCCATTTTTTTCTCATTTATCCCCATTTTTTTCCCAATTTTCCCCCAATTTTTTCTCATTTTATTCCAAATTTTCCCATTTTTCCCCATTTTTCCCCCATTTTATTCCCATTTTTCCCAATTTTTGCCCAATTTTCGCCCATTTTATTCTATATTTTCCACAATTTTTTCTCATTTTTCCTCCATTTTATTCTAAATTTTCCCCTGATTTTTTTCTCCATCTTTTTTTTATTCCCATTTTTTCCCCAAATTTCCCTCAAAAAATTCAATTTTTTCCCCAATTTCCCCCAATTTTCCCCCAATTTTTTCCCAATTTTTCCCCATTTTCTCCCAATTTTTAATTAATGTTTAATTAAGGTTTAATTGACTTTACCTGCAGCCCGGGTGGTGGTGCTCTCATAGAGGGGAATTCTCTCTACCCCATTTTATCCCCATTTTACCCCAATTTTTTCCCAAGTTTGCCCCAAATTTTTTCTTAATTTTTTCCCAATTTTCCCCAATTTTATTCCAATTTTTCCCCACTTTTCCCCAAATTTTTTATCATTTTTTCCCATTTTAGTCCCAATTTCTCCACCAATTTTTCCCCAATCTATCCCCAATTTCCCCCCATTTTATTCCAATTTTTTCCCATTTTATCCCCATTTTATCCCCATTTTTTCCCAATTTTCCCCCCTTTTTTCCCCAACTGTTCCCTAATATTTTCCCAATTTTCCCTATATTTTCCCCCATTTCATTCCAAATTTTTCCTAATTTTCCCAATTTTATTCCCATTTTTTCTCCAATTTTCCCCATTTTTTCCTCATTTTTTCCCCAAAAATTTCAATTTTTCTCCAATTTTCCTCCATTTTATTCCCATTTTTCCCCAAATTTCCCTCAAAAAATTCCATTTTTCCCCAATTTTCCCCCAATTTTTTCCCAATTTCCCCCCATTTTTCCCAAATGTTCTCCCAATGTTTAATGAGTGTTTAATTAACGTGTAATTAATTGTTACCTGCCGCCCGGGTGGTGGCGCTCTCATAGAGGGGAATTCCCTCCCCGGCGTTGTTGAAAGCCTTGAGGGAAATCACGTAGTGGGAGTTGGGCTCTGGAATGGGGAATGGATTAGCATAAATTAGAATAAATTAGAGTAAATTATAATAAATTGGGGAAATTAGAAAAAATTGGGGGAAATTGGGGGAAAATTGGAGGAAAAATGGGATTAAAATGGGGAAAAATTGGGGGAAAACTGGGAAAAAATGGGGGAAAATGGGGGAAAAATGAGAATAAAATGGGGGGAAAATGAGAATAAAATGGGGGAAAATTGGGGGAAAATTGGGAAAAAATTGGGGGAAAATTGGGAAACAATTGGGGGATAAATTGGGGAGAAAATGGCGGAAAAATGGTGGAAAAATGGGGAAAAATCTGCCAAAAAAAAGAGAAAAAATGGGAAAAAAATTGGTAAAAATGGGATAAAATGGGGGGAAATTGGGAAAAATTGGAATAAAATTGGGAAAAATTGGAATAAAATGGCAATGAAATGAGGGAAAAAATGGGGAAAAAACAGAAAAAATTCAAAATAAAACAGAAAAAATTGGGGGAAAAAATCAGAAAAAAACGGGGAATATTGGGAATAACTCCAGATAATTATTTTAATTAAAAATCCTCAATCTTACCCAAATTTAGCATGGAGTAGGAGCTCTGTTTGCTGTCCACCCTGATGGTGCCAGCGTAGGGAGTGCCCACCCCAACCCGAGGGGAAACAGCAATGGGGAAATGGGGAAAAATTGGAGAAAAGTTTGGGGAAAATGGGAGGAAAAATGGGAGGAAATTGAGGAAAAATTGGGGGGAAAGAGGGTAAAATGGGAAAAAAATTGGGGAAAAATTTGGGGGCAAAATGGGGAAAAATGGGAGAAAAATTGGAGAAAAATCAGAAAAAAATGGGGAAAAAATTGGACAAAAATCAGGGAAAAAATGGGTAAAATTGCGGTAAAAATTGGGGAAAAATGGAGGAAAAATGAGGGAAAATTGGGAGAAAATGAGGAGAAAATTGGAGAAAAATTGGGGAAAAATCAGAGAAAAATGAGAAAAAAATGGGAAGAAAATTGGAGAAAAATTGAGGAAAAAATTGGGGAAAAAATGGAAAAAATGCAGAAAAAATGGGGAAAAATTGGAGAAAAATGGGGGAAAATTTGGGTAAAAATGGGGGAAATTTGGGAAAATTTGGGGAAAAAATGGGGAAAAATTAGGAGAAAACTGGGGAGAAAATGGGGGGAAAATGGCGGAAAAATGGGGAAAAATCCCTAAAAAATCAGAAAAAAATGGGAATAAAATGGGAAAAAATGGGAATAAATTTGGGAAAAATTGGAATAAAATGGCAATGAAATGGGGAAAAAATGGGGAAAAAATAGAAAAAATTAAAAATAAAACAGAAAAAACGGGGAAAAAATGGGAATAAATTTGGGAAAAATTGGAATAAAATGGCAATGAAATGGGGAAAAAATGGGGAAAAAATAGAAAAAATTAAAAATAAAACAGAAAAAAATGGGGAAAAAATCAGAAAAAAAGAGGAAAAATTTGGTATAATTCCAGATATTATTTTTTATTAAAAAATGCCAAACTTACCCAAATTCAGGATGGAATAGGACCTCTGTTTACTGTCCACTCTGATGGTGTCGGCGTAGGGACTGCCCACCCCGTAGCCGATGAGGAACCCCCTGATGGCAACGTTGGGGTTCAGGGGGGGAGTCCAGCTCAGGGCAATGCCAGAGGGGAGGGGATGCACCTGCAGGGAGCTGGGCTGCTCAGGAACCTGGGATTCTACAGAAAAAAACAAAAGAGAAATTTTAAAAAATGAAATTTAAAAAAAACCCCAGTAAAAATCGGATAAGAATTGGAATTTTGGCTGATTTTTCCTGATTTTTTTAAGATTTTTTTCTGATTTCTTCCTCAATTTCTGAAGATTCTTTCCTTATTTTTCCCCATTTCTTTTCTCATTTTTTTCCCTAATTTTTCCCTAATTTTTTTCCAATTTTTTTCTCCCTTTTTTACCCCATTTTCCCCAATTTTTTGCCCATTTTTTCCCAATTCTTCCCAATTTCTGCCCTATTTTTCCCAATTTTTCGCTAATTATTCCACAATTTTTCCCCATTTTTCCATACTTCTCCCCAATTTTTCCCTAATTTTTTTCCCAATTTTTCCCTATTTTTTCCAAATTTTTCTGATATTTTTCCCTATTTTTTCCCCAATTTTCCAAAATTTTTCCTAATTTCCCAACCATTTTGTCCCCAAAATTTTCTTCAATTTTTCCTCATTTTGCCCCATTTTTCCCCAATTTTTCTGTAATTTTTCCATCATTTTTCTCCATTTTTTCCTATTATTTCTCAATTTTTTCTTCTTTTTTCCCAATTTTTTCCCTAACTTTTTCCCAATTATTTTTCATTTTTTCCCATTTTTTCCTAATTTTCCCCCATTTTCCCCCCATTTTTCCCCAATTTTTCCCAATTTTTTCCCTAGTTTTTTCCTTTTTTTCCCCAATTTTTCCCCATCTTTCCCAGCTCAGGGAGATGCCAGAGGGGAGGGGATGGACCTGCAGGGAGCTGGGCTGCTCAGGAACCTGGGATTCTGTGTAAAAAAATAAAAATTAAAAATTAAAAATTAATTTTATAAAAAAAACCCCGAGAAAATGGGACAAAAATCCGATTTTTTTACTGATTTTTCTTGATTTTTCTTTTTTTTCCCCCCAATTTTCACTCCTTTTTTCCCCAATTTTCCCCATTTCTTTCTCATTTTTCCCTCCAATTTTTCCTAATTTTTCTCTATTTTTTCCCTAATTTTTCTCCATTTTTTCTCAATTTTTTCCCTAATTTTCACAATTTTTTCCCTATTTTTTCGTAATTTTCCCCATTTTTCCCCAATTTTTCTCCAGTTTTCCCCCATTTTTTTCTCCAATTATTCCCCAATTTTTTTCCTAATTTTTCCTAATTTTTCCCAATTTTTTTCCTAATTTTTCCCTATTTTTTTCCTAATTTTTCCTAATTTTTCCCTATTTTTTCCTAATTTTTCAGAACTTTTTCTCGTTTTTTCCCTAATTTTCCCCATTTTTTCTCCAATTTCTCACCAATATTTCCCCTATTTTTTGCTATTTTTTCTCAATATTTCTTCTTTTTTCCCTCATTTTTTCCCTGATTTTTTCCCAATTTTTTCCCTAATTTTTCCCTATTTCCCCCCTAATTTTCTTCCCCAATTTTTTTCTAATTTTCTCATTTTTTCCCAGTTTTTCCCCAATTTTCTCCCATTCTCCCATCTTTCCCAGCTCAGGGAGATGCCAGAGGGGAGGGGATGGACCTGCAGGGAGCTGGGCTGCTCAGGAACCTGGGATTCTACAAAAACTAAAATAAATAAAGTATTAAAACTTAATTTTACAAAAAAACTCCAGTGAAAATCAGACAAAAATCCGTTTTTTTTTGCTGATTTTTGCTGATTTTTTTTCCTCATTTTTTCCTCAGTTTTTGAAGATTCTTTTCTTATTTTCCCCTATTTTTTCTCATTTTTTCCCTAATTTTTCCCCCATTTTCCCCCCAATTTTTCCTCAATTTTTTCCCAATTTTTCTTAATTTTCCCAAATTTTTTCTCATTTTTTCTCATTTTTCCCAATTTCTCCCCCTTCTTTTTCCTCATTTTTCCCAGATTTCCCCAATTTTTTGCTAATTTTTCCACAATTTCCCCCCATTTCTTCCTATTTTTCCCCTTTTTTCTCAATTTTTCCCTAATTTTCCCCAATTTTCCCCTATTTTTTCCCCAATTTTTCCCACTTCTTTCTAATTTTTTCCTAATTTTTCCCCAATTTTATCAACTTTTTCCTGTTTTTTCCAATTTTTCTCTCTATTTTTTATTAATTTTCCCCCAATTTATCTCCATTTTTCCCTAATTTTCCCCAATTTTCCCCTATTTTTTCCCCAATTTTTCCCACTTCTTTCTAATTTTTTCCTAATTTTTCCCCAATTTTATCAACTTTTTCCTGTTTTTTCCAATTTTTCTCTCTATTTTTTATTAATTTTCCCCCAATTTATCTCCATTTTTCCCTAATTTTCCCCAATTTTCCCCCATTTTCCCCCAATTTTTCCTATTTTTTTCTCCAATTATTCCCCAATTTTTTGCCCAATTTTTCCCTGTTTTTTCCTCCTTTTTTCCCCCAAATTTGCCTCATTTTTTCCCAATTTTCCCCCATTTCTCCCCTACATTTTCCCCAAATTTTTCTTATTTTTTCCCAATTTTTCCTCCTTTTCTGCCCGTTTTTTCCTAATTTTCTCCCATTTATTCCTCTTTTTTCTGATATTTTTCCCACTTTTCCCCCAATTTTTCTCCAAATTTTTTCTATTTTTTCCCAATTTTTTCCTAATTTTTCCTCAATTTTTCACCATTTTTCCCAATTTTTAGCCATTTTTTACTAATTTACCCCCAATTTTCCCCCATTTTTCCACAAATTTTGCCCAATTTTTATCCCAATTTTTCTCCATTTTTTCTCCCATTTTCCCCCTATTTTCCCTAATTTTTCCACAATTTTTCCCCAATTTTCCTCCCATTTTTTCACCTTATTTTTTCTAATTTTTTCTCTTTTTTTTCCTATTTTTTTCCATAAATTTACCCCTTTTTTCCCTAATTTTTCCCAATTTTCCATTAAGCTTTTCCCGAATTTCTTCCCCATTTTCCCCCAATTTTTTACCTCTAATTTTTCCTCATTTTTCCTCAAATTTTTCCCAATTTTTCTCAAATCTTTCCCCATTTTTCCCCCAGTTTTCACCCAATTTTCTCCAATTTTCCACCATTTTGTCTCCAATTTTCCACCATTCTGTCGCCAATTTTCCGCCATTTTGTTTCCATTTCCCCCCATTTTTCCTCCAATTTTTCTTCATTCTTCCCCCAATTTTTCCCAATTTTCTCGCATTTTTTTCCTCATTTTCCCCCTAAACTTTCCCCAACTTTCCTCCATTTTTACGCCCTTTTGATTCCATTTTCCCACCATTTTGTCCCCAATTTTCTGCCATTTCCCCCCAATTTTTCCTCATTTCCCCCCAATTTTTTCCCCAAGTTTTCCCCAATTTTCCCCAATTTTCTGCCATTTTGTCTCCATTTTGCCGCCATTTTGTCGCCAACTTTCCACCATTTTGTCGCCAATTTTCCGCCATTTTCCATCAATTTTTCCTCATTTCCCCCAATTTTTTCCAAACTTTTTACCATTTTCCTCCCTTTTTCATCTAATTTTCCCCAGTTTTCCGCTATTTTGTCGCCAGCTTGCCACCATTTTGTTTTCAATTTTCCGCCATTTTGCCCCAATTTTTCCTCATTTTTCCCTCAAATTTTTTCCCAATTTTTCCCTCAAATATTTCCCCAATTTTTTCTCCAATTTTCCCCAATTTTCCGCCATTTTGTTGCCAATTTTCTGCCATTTTCCCTCTAATTTTTCCTCATTTTTCCCTCAAAATTTTCTCATTTTTCTCAAATCTTTCCCCAATTTTCCACCATTTTTTCTCCAATTTTCCACCTTTTTTTTCCCAATTTTCCACCATTTTGTCTCCAATTTTCCGCCATCTTGCTTTCAATTTTCTGCCGTTTTGTCTCCAATTTTTCCACCATTTTCCCCCAATTTTTCCTCATTTTTTCCCGCAATTTTTTCCCAGTTTTTCCTCATTTTTCCATAACTTTTCGCCCAATTTTTCCCCATTTCTTCCCCAATTTTTGCTTCAATTTTTCCTAGTTTTCCACCACTTTGTCACCAATTTTCCACCATTTTTTCTCCAATTTTCCGCCATTTTGTTTCCATTTTTCCACCATTTTGTCTCAAATTTTCCCTCATTTTTCCTCCAATTTTTTTCCATTTTGTCTCCAATTTTTTTCCTCATTTTCCCCTATTTTTTCTTAATTATTTCCCAATTAATTTTTACCATCCAGCTTGTTTTCAGGGCTCTCAGCTCCCACCCACTGTGAGCTCAGTTCCGTCCCATTTCCCCTCATGGCCCCTGCTGCAATCCTCCATTTTTCCCCAATTTTTCTACATTCTCCCCCCAGATTGTTCCCAATTTTCCACCATTTTTTCCAAGTTTTCCCCCAGATTTTTACCCATTTTCCACCATTTTTCCCTCAAATTTTTCCCAATTTTTATCAAATTTTTCCCCCATTTTCCACCATTTTGTCTCCAATTTTCCACCATTTTATCTCCATTTTTCTGCCATTTTTCCCCAATTTTTCTACATTCTCCCCCCAGATTGTTCCCAATTTTCCACCATTTTTTCCAAGTTTTCCCCCAGATTTTTACCCATTTTCCACCATTTTTCCCTCAAATTTTTCCCAATTTTTATCAAATTTTTCCCCCATTTTCCACCATTTTGTCTCCAATTTTCCACCATTTTATCTCCATTTTACTGCCATTTTCTTCCCATTTTTCCACCATTTTGTCTCCAATTTTTCCTCATTTTCCCCCTCAAATTTTTCCAAAATTTCTCAAATTTTTCCCCATTTTTCCTTGTTTTTCACCCAATTTTCTCCAATTTTCCGCCATTTTGTCTCAATTTTTCCACCATTTTGTCTCAAATTTTCCACCTTTTTGCTGCCAATTTTCTGCCATTTTGTCTCTAATTTTCCGCCATTTTGTCTCAATTTTTCCACCATTTTGTCTCAAATTTTCCACCTTTTTGCTGCCAATTTTCTGCCATTTTGTCTCTAATTTTCCGCCATTTTGTCTCTAATTTTTTTCTCTTTTTGTGCCAAATTTTTCTCAAATTGTTCCCAATTTTCTCTTATTTCCCCCAAATTTTCCCCAATTTTCCGCCATTTTTGTCTCCATTTTTCCACCATTTTCTCCCAATTTTCTGCCATTTTGTTTCCCATTTTTCCTCATTTTTTCCCTCAAATTTTTCCTAATTTTTTCAAAATTTTCCCCATTTTTCCTCATTTTTCACCCAGGTTTTCCCCACTTTTCTGCCATTTTGTCCCCAATTGTCCACCATTTTGTCTGAAATTTTCCGCCATTTTGTTTTCAATTTTCTGCCATGTTGTCTCTATTTTTCCGCCATTTTGTTTTCAATTTTCTGCCATTTTGTCTGCAGTTTTCCACCATTTTCCCTCCAATTTTTCCTTGGTTTTCCCTCAAATTTTTCCCAATTTTCCCCCAATTTTTTTCCTAATTTTCCCCTAATTTTTCTTAATTATTTCCCAATTAATTTTTACCATCCAGGTCGTTCTCAGGGGTCTCAGCTCCCACCCACTGCGAGCTCGGTCCCGTCCCGTTCCCTGTCATTGCAGCCACTTGGAAACTGTGCAGGCTCCCCTTGTCCAAACCTGCCCAAGAATTAAAAATTCATCATTAAAATCACTAATTAACACATTAAAAATGAAGAAAAAAAATTAAAGAAAATTCAGATATTTTTTGGGATTTTTTTGATAATTTTTGGGTTTGAAATTTGAATTGTTTTGTATTTTATAGAGAATTTTTTTGGATTTTTTTTAGATTTTTTATAGAATTTTTGGAAAAATTTTTGGAGATTTTTGGGGAATTTTTTGAATTATTTTAGGAATTTTTGAGAGATTTTTTGGGGATTTTTTGAGGAAATTTTTTTTTGATGTATTGGGATTGAAATTCGACTTTTTGGGGAATTTTTGGCGGATTTTTTTTGGGATTTTTGTGGGATTTTTTTGGGAATTTTCTGAGGATTTTTTTGAAATTCTTGGGCTTGAAATTTGAATTTTTTGGGATTTTATACGGAATTTTTTATTTTTTGGAGGTTTTTTTGTAGAATTTTTCGGGATTTTTGGAAAAAGTTTTGGGGAATTATTGGAATTTTTTAAGAATTTTTGGGAGATTTCTGGGGAAAATTTTTGGGATTCTTTTTCAGGGAATTTTTGGGACATTTTTAGGAATTCTTTAGGAATTTTTTGTCACCTTTTTCAGAAATTTTTGGGGATTTTTGGTGGGATTTTTTTTGGAATTTTCCAAGAATTTCTGGCCATGTTTTAGAAATTTCTTTTTAATTAGGGGATTTTTTTGGTGGATTTTTTTGGGATTTTTTGAGCATTTTTTAGGATTAAAACTCTAATTTTTGGGGATTTTTTTTTTTATTTTGCGGAAATTTTTGGGGGAATGTTTTGGATTTTTTGCTGATTTTTTTTTGGGGGGGGGATTTTCTGAGGTTTTTTTGAGGTTTTTTTTGAAATTTTTGGGCTTGAAATTTGATTTTTTTGGGATTTTATAGGGAATTTTTTTTTTTGAGATTTTTTACAGACTTTGGAAAAATTTTTGGAGAATTTTTTAAATTTTTTTAGAATTTTTTGGGAGATTTTTGGGAGGTTTTTTTGGGATTTGGGGGGAATTTTGTGGTTATTTTTTGAGTTTTTTTGAGAATTTTTTGGAGAAGTTTTTTTATTTATTGGGATTGAAATTTGAGTTTTTGGGGGATTTTTTTGGGATTTTTGTGAAATTTTTGGGGGTAATTTTCTGAGCATTTTTGGGGGATATTTTTGAAATTTTTTGGCCTTGAAATTTAAATTTTTGGGACTTTTTTTGGTTTTTTGGGGGGATTTTTTAGCGTTTTTGTTTTAATTTTGGGAATTTTGGGGGGATTTTTTTGGGAATTTTGGGGGATTTTTTGGAAACTTTTGAGCTTGAAATTTGAATTTTTAGAGTATTTGTTTTTATTACTTTTGGGGGGTTTGTTCAGCAGTTTTGTTTTAATTTTGGGAATTTTTGGGGTTCTTTTGGGGGAATTTTCTAGGAATACTTGGGAATGTCTTTGGAATATTTGGGGGGAAGTTTTTGGAATTTTTTTTTATTTTGGGGGAATTTCAAAAAAAATTTTGGGGATTTTTTTAAAAATTTTTGGGAATTTTTTTAAGGTTTTTGGAGAATTTTAAGATATTTTTTCAGGAATTTTTTTTAAATTTTGGACATTTTTGGGGAATTTTTTGGGGAATTTTTTAGGAATTTTTGGGGATTGAAAACTGATCTTTTTTGGAAATTCTTTGGAATTTTTTTCAGGTTTTTCCGCATTAAAAATTAAATTTTTGGAGGAATTTTGGGGACTATTTTGAGGACTTTTTTCTGGGACTATTTTGGGGAATTTTAGGATTCTTTTTGGGAATTTTTTGGGGATTTTTTGAGAATTTTCTGGTAATTTTGGGAGGATTGTTTAGGAATTTTTTGTGAAATTTCTGCGAATTTTTGGAGACTTTTTTTCGGATTTTTTTGGGCAATTTTTTGGCAATTTTGGGGAGTTAAAAAGCAAATTTTTTTTTATTTTTTGGGAATAAAATTGAATTTTTGAGTGAATTTTTGGAGGTTTTTTGGGGAATATTTTGGGAATTTTTTGGGATTTTTTTTGTGGAATTTTTGGGGATTTTTGTGACACAAAAAAATTGAATTTTTGGGGGATTTTTGCCCACCTGTGAAGTGGTACCAGATGTTGTTGGGTTCCAAGGTTTCTTCTCAAATTTTGGGAATTTTTACACCAAAATGTGGGAAATTTAGGGAATTTTTTTGGCAATTTTTGGGGGTTAAAAAGTTTTTTTTTAAAATTTTCTGCAAATTTAGAGGGATTTTTTAGAGAATTTTTGGGGGCATTTTTTGAGGGTTTTTTGGAAATTTTGGGGGATTTTTTTGAAATATTTTGGGAACGTTGGGAGGATTTTTTGGGAATTTTTGGGAAAATTTTGGGGGTTTTTTTGGGAATTTTTGGGTTTTTCTTAAAGGAATTTTTGGGGAATTTGTTAGAAATTTTTTGGGAATTTTTAAGAATTTTTAGGGACTTTTCTGGGATATTTTGGGGGACTTTTTTGGAATTTTCTGGGGAATTTTGGAAGCTTTTTTGGGGATTTTTGGGGATTTTTTGGCAATTTTAGAGCATCCTGAAGTGAATCTTTTGGGGATTTTTGGGACTAAAAAACTGAATTTTTTTGGTGATTTTTGCAGAATTTTTTGGATTTTTTTCAGAATTTTTGGGGAATTTTTTGGGGAACATTTTGACAATTTTCAGGGGTCAAAAATTTGAATTTTGGGGGGATTTCTTGCCCACCTGTGAAGAGGTACCAGAGGTTGTTGGGTTCCAAAGTTTCCGTTTTCCCTCAAATTTGGGGAATTTTTACCTCAAAATTTGGAAATTTTTTTCCTGAAATTTTGGGAATTTTTACACAAAAATTTGGGATTTTTTTACCCCAAAACTTGAGAATTTTTGGGGAAAGTTTTGGCAATTTTGGGGCATTAAAAAGTGAATTTTGGGGGGTATTTTTGGGGAATTTTCAGGGATATTTTGGCAATTTTTAGGGAATTTTCTGGGAAATTTGGGAGCATTTTTTGGGAATTTTTGGGGATTTTTTTGGCAATATTTTGGAAATTTTGGGAAGATTTTTGGGGGATTTTTTAGGAATTTTTAGGGATTTTTTGCGTTTAAACACTGAATTTTTGGGGAATTTTGGGGATTTTTGGGAGGATTTTTTGGGCATTTTTAAGGAAGTTTTGGGGAATTAAATCTGATTTTTGGGGGCATTTTTTGGGATTAAAAATTCAATTTAAGAAGGAATTTTGGGGAATTTTTTTTTGAATTTTCAGGGATTTTTTGGGGAATTTTTAGGAATATTTTAGGGGTTACAAAATTGAATTTTTGGGGATTTTTTTGGGGGATTAAATCTGATTTTGTGGGGGATTTTTTGGGATTAAATATTGAATTTTTGAAGGAATTTTGGGGCAGTTTTTGGGGAATTTTTTTTGAATTTTCGGAGATTTTTCGGGGAATTTTTAGGAATATTTTAGGGATTAAAAATTTGATTTTTTGGGGAATTTTTGGGGGATTTTTGCCCACCTGTGAAGAGGTACCAAAGGTTGTTGGGTTCCAAAGTTTCCGTTTCTCCTCTCCTGGAACTTCTGCGATGGCGAATTTTGTAGCCGGTGAGGAACCCATTCTGGGAGCCTGGGGGGGGAGGCTGCCAGCTCACCCTGATGCTCTGAAATTAACAACATCAATTAAAAAAACTTCATGAATTTTGAAGAATTTTTTAAGATTTTTGGTAAGAATTTGGGGGAAAATTTTGGATATTTTGGGGGATTTTTTTCCTATTTTTTAGGGATTTTTTGTGATTTTTTGGCAATTTTTGGGCATTTTTAAGGAATTTTTTTAGGAATTTGGGGGATTTTTTCCTGATTTTGGGGGGATTTTTTTCCTAATTTTTGGGGATTTTTTCCTGATTTTTGGGGGAATTCTTTCCTGATTTTTGGGGATTTTTTCTCTATTTTTATGACATTTTTTTTGATTTTTTGGCAATTTTTCAGCAATTTTGGGGGGAATTTTTGTGGGAATTTTAGTGAATTTTTGGGAACTTACTGTTGATTTTTTGCGATTTTTTGGGGATTTTTTTCAGATTTTTTACAATTTTTGAGGAATTTTTTGGCAATGTTTTGAGATTTTTGGGGGGATTTTTGGGGGAATTTTTGGGATTGAATTTTTGGGGATTTTTTTCAGATTTTTTACAATTTTTGAGGAATTTTTTGGCAATGTTTTGAGATTTTTGGGGGGATTTTTGGGGGAATTTTTGGGATTTTTTCCTGATTTTTTGCGGATATTTGGGGGATTTTTTCAGATTTTTTGGGAATTTTGGGGGATTTTTTGGGATTTTTTTTCCAAATTTTTGGGGATTTTTTGGCATTTTTTGGGCATTTTAGGGGGATTTTTTTAAGGAATTTTAGGAAATTTTTGGGAATTTATTGCTGATTTTTTGTGATTTTTGGGGGATTTTTTCTGATTTTTTTGTGATTTTTTTTCAGATTTTTTGCGATTTTTTAGGAATTTTTTGGCAATTTTTTGATATTTTTGGGGTGATTTTTTGGGGAATTTTAGGGATTTTTTCAGATTTTTTGCGATTTTTTAGGAATTTTTTGGCAATTTTTTGATATTTTTGGGGTGATTTTTTGGGGAATTTTAGGGATTTTTTCAGATTTTTTCCGAATTTTTGGGGATTTTTTGTCCTATTTTTTTTTCTTTTTTGGCAAATTTTTGACAATTTTTTTTTGCAATTTTTTGAGAATTTTTGGGTGATTTTTGGGGATTTTTTGAGTATTTATTTCTAATTTTTGGAGATTTTACAGGGATTTTTTGAGTTTTTTAGGATTTTTGTCTCCTATTTTTGGGGAATTTTTCCTAATTTTTTGGGAATTTTTTTTCACTTTTTTTTAGGAATTTTTTAGGAATTTTTGGGGGGGTTTTGGGATTTTTTAGATTTTTTACAGAATTTTTTGGCAATTTTTTTGGAATTTTTTAGGAATTTTGGGAGGATTTTTTTGGAATTTTTGGAGAATTTTCCAGATTTTTTTTTTTTTTTTATATTTTGGGGAATTTTTTGGAGATTTTTATGAGAATTTTTGGGCATTTTTTGGGATTAGTTTGAATTTTGTACCCAGTGAGGAACCCTTTCTGAAAGCCCGGGGGGGAGGCTGCCAGCTCACCCTGATGCTCTGAAACAATTACAATTAATTAAAATTTTAAATGAATTTTTTAAGTTTTTAAAAAAAATTTCGGTAGGAATATTTTGGGATTTCTTGGGGGATTTTTTGAGGATTTTTTCCTAATTTTTTTAAATTTCTTTGCAATTGTTTTGGCAATTTGGGGCATTTTGGGGGGATTTTTTGGGGCAATATTTGGGATTTTTTCAGATTTTTTGGGATTTTTCAGGGATTTGTTTCCTAATTTTTTTCGGGATTTTTTGTGATTTTTATTTTTTTTTTTTTTTTATATTGGGGGGGATTTTTTGGGGAACTTTAGGGAATTTTTGGGAATTTTTTCAGATTTTTTAGGAATTTTTTTTTTCGATTTTTTGGGATTTTTCAGGGATTTGTTTCCTAATTTTTTTCGGGATTTTTTGTGATTTTTTTGTTAATTTTTTTGGGCATTTGGGGGGGATTTTTTGGGGAACTTTAGGGAATTTTTGGGAATTTTTTCAGATTTTTTAGGAATTTTTTTTTTCGATTTTTTGGGATTTTTTTCCAAATTTTTGGGGCATTCTGGGGGGATTTTATTGGGGAATTTTTGGGAATTTTTTCCTGCTTTTTTGGAAATGTTGGAGGATTTTTTGAGGATTTTTTTCCTAATTTTTGGGGGATTTTTTATGATTTTTATGGCAATTTTTTGGGCATTTTGGAGGGATTTTTTGGGGAATTTTAGGGAATTTTTGGGAATTTTTTCAGATTTTTTGGGAATTTTTTCCTAATTTTTTGGGCATTTTGGGGGGATTTTTTGGGGGAATTTTTTGGGAATTTTTTCCTTATTTTTTGACAATTTTTTGGGCATTTTTGGGGAATTTTTGGGGGGAATTTTTGGGAATTTTTTCCTGATTTTTTGGAAAGTTGGGGGATTTTTTGAGAATTATTTTCCTAATTTTGGGGGGATTTTTTTTGTGATTTTTTGGCAATTTTATGGACATTTTGGAGGGATTTTTGGGGAAATTTTAGGGAATTTTTTTCCAGATTTTTTGGGATTTTTTTCCAAATTTTTGGGGCATTTTCGGGGGATTTTTGGGGGGAATTTTTGGGAATTTTTTCCTGATTTTTTGGAAATGTTGGGGGATTTTTTGAGGATTTTTTTCCTAATTTTTTGGGGATTTTTTGTGATTATTTGGCAATTTTATGGACATTTTGGAGGGATTTTTGGGGAAATTTTTGGGAATTTTTTGAGGATTTTTTGAGGATTTTTTCAGTATTTTTGGAGAAATTTTTTCATAATTTTTTCAGGACTTTTTGGTCAATTTTTTTCAGATTTTTTTGGCAATTTTTTGGGGAATTTTTAAAGATTTCTTGCAATTTTTTTCCAGATTTTTTGATTTTTTGGGGATTTTATGAGACTATTTGAGGATTTTACTCAGATTTTTTGGGATTTTTGGCGAACTTTTTGGCAATTTTGGGGGGATTTTTTGGGATTTTTTTTCAGGATTTTTGGGAATTTTTTTAAGGATTTTTTGGGCATTTTTTGGGATTTTTGGGGATTTTTCTGAGACTGTGAGGTGAATTTTTTGAGAATTTTTGGAGGATTTTTGGAGATTTTTTTAGGTGAATTTGGGGGATTTTTTTGGTTTTTTCCCCCTGAATTTTAGGATTTTTTGGGGATTTTTTGAGAATTTTTGGGGATTTTTTTGTAATTTTTTAAGAATTTTCTGGGGATTTCTTTGAATTTTTTTTGAGATTTTTTTTCAGATTTTTGTGAGATTTTTTAGGGATTTTTTTGAGAATGTTTTTCTTAATCTTTTGGGATTTTGGGGGTTTTTTCTGAGAATTTTGGGGATTTTTTTTTTCTTTTTTGGGGGGATTTTTTTTCTTAATTTGTTGAGATTTTTCCCTCATTTTTTGGGAATTTTTAGGCAATTTTTTGAGATTTTAGGGATTTCTTACAAGAATGTTTTGGGGGTCTTTGGAAATTTTTTAGGATTTTTTTAAAGGTTTTTTGTGGGTTTTTTGGGAATTTATTCTCAATTTTTTTGGGATTTTTCGGGGATTTTTGGATGGTTTTTTAGAATTTTTTTTCCTATTTTTTGGGATTTTTTTGAGAATTGTTTGAGAGTTTTTGGGTGAATTTTTTCCGAATTTTTGGGGACTTTTTTTTGAGTATTTTTTGGGATTCTTTTCCTAATTTTGGGGGATTGATTGTCAATTTTTAAGCAATTTTTAGGGAATTTTTAGGGAATTTTTTTGGGATATCTTTTTTATTTCTTAAAGAATTTTTTGGGATTTTTTGGGGATTTTTTTGCCATTTTTGGGGATTTTTTGAGATATTTTGGGGGGGATTTTATGGAATTTTTGTGAATTTTTGGTGAATTTTTTTCAATTTTTGGGGTATTTTTGGGGATTTTTTTCTGAAGTTTTGGGGATATTTTTGTGAATTTTTGGGGATATTTTTGTGAATTTTTTGTATATGTTTTGTGAATTTTTTGAGGATTTTTTGGTAAATTTTTGGGGGATTTTTTCTGAATTTGTTTTGCAATTTTTGCGGACATTTTTGTGAATTTTTGGGGACATTTTTGTGAATTTTTGGTAATTTTTTCCTGCCTTACCCTGGAATTCACCACTTCCAAGGACACGTTCTGAGGAGCCTCGCTGGGAACTGAAAAGATCCAAAAAAATTCAATTTTTAGAAAAATTGTGATTTTTATGGCATTTAATCAAGAATTTTCCTGATTTTTTCTGACCTTTTTCATCATGTTATTTTTTAATTAATTTTTACCAATTTTTTCTTTTTTTCCCAATTTTATTTCCATTTTTCCCTGATTTTTTCTCAATTTTTTCATCATTTTGGACCCATTTTTATCCCATTTTATCCCATATTTTTCCCATTTTTCCCATTATTTTTTCTTGATTTCTTTCTAAATTTCCCCCATTTTTTTCTGATTTTTTTCCACTTTTTTCCCATTTTTTCTCCATTATATTCCAAATATTTTCTCCATTTCTGCTCCATTTTCCCCAATTTTTTCCCCAATTTTTTCCCATTTTTCCCCAATTTTCTCCCAACTTTTCTCATTATTTTCCCCATTTTTACCCATTTGTCTCCTATTTCCCCCCAATATTTTCCCTAAATTTTGCCCAATTTTCCCCCATTTTTTCCTGAATTTTCTCCCAAATTTTTCCCAATTTTTTCCCAATTCCCTCCCAATTTTCCCCCCAATTATTCCTCAATTTCTTCCCATTTTTCCCCAATTTTTCCCCCATTTTTTTCCCATTTTTCCCCCAATTTTCTCCCATTTTAATTTTATTTTTCCCCAATTTCTTCCCTAATTTTTCCCCATATTTCCACTGAATTTTCCCCATTTCATTACAAGTTTCCTTCCAATTTTTCCTCAATTTTTCCCAATTTTCTCTCTTTTTGGCTGATTTTTTCTCAATTTTTCTCCAATCTTTTCCCAAATTTCCCCATTTTTTGTCCACTTTTTCCCCATTTTTCCCCCAATTGTTCCATGTTTTTAACCCTTTTTTTTGCTGTTTTTTTTTCCCCAATTTTCTCCCCATTTCTCTGGATTTTTTTTCTGAATTTTTACCCAATTTTTTCCCATTTTTCTCCATTTTTTGCCAATTGTTCCCCAGATTTTTGCCGATTTTTTCTCTGATTTTTCCCCAATTTCTCACCATTTTTCCCCAATTTCCCTCTAATTTTCCCCATTTTATTCCAAATTTTCTCCCAATTTTTCCCCTTTTTTCTCCATTTTTGGCTGATTTTTTTTCAATTTTTCCCCATTTTCCCTCCAATTTTCCCCCAATTTTTTTTTCTAATTTTTTCCCAATTCTTCTCATTTTTTCCTCAAAAATTCCCTAATTTTTTCTAAAATTTTCCCCAATTTTTTCCCAATTTACTCCCAATTTTTTCCCATTTTTGGCCGATTTTCTCCCAGTTTTGTGCCGATTTTTATCAGATTTTTTCCCGATTTTTTCCCCGATTTTGCTCAATTTTATTCCAAATTTTCTCCCAATTTTTCCCCATTATATCCCAAATTTTCTCCCAATTTTTCCCCATTTTTCTCTATTTCTTGGCCAATTTTTGGCCGATTTTTGCCATTTTTTCACCGATTTTTCCCCAATTTTCACCCAATTTTTCCCAATTGTTGCTGATTTTGCCCCAAATTCATTTCCATGTTTCCCTCCCCATCACTCAATGCTGTCACAGAGATCTCCTGAGCTCCCATCCCCTCTCTGTGCCTGTTGGATCCCAGCATCCTCACCCAAAATTCCCAAGTTTTCACTCATTTTTATTCCATTATTCCCCCGTTTTTTCCCCAATTTTCCCCCCAATTTTTCTCCCAATTTTTTTCCATTTTCCCCCATTTTTGGCTCATTTTTTGTCCTTTTTCTGCAGATTGTTTGCTGATTTTTCAACAGTTTTTTGCCATTTTTTGCCGTTTTTTTCCCAATGTTTCTCAATTTTCCCCCATTATTTTCCCAAATTTTTACCCACTTTTTCTCCCAACTTTCCCCAATATATTCCAAATTTTCTCCCCATTTTTCCCCATTTTTTCCCAACTTTTTGCTGATATTTTGCCATTTTATATCCATTTTTCCCCCATTTTTCCCCAATTTTTTCCCATTTTTCCCCCAATTTTCCCCCATTATATCCCAAATTTTCTCCAAATCTCTCCCCATTTTTTCTCTGATTTTTCACCATTTTTTTTCCGCAATTTTTTCCCAACTTTTTGCCAGTTTTTTGCCAATTTTCCCAATTTTCCCCCATTTTTTCCCCAATTTTTTCCCAATTTTTCCCCCAATTTTCCCCATTATATTCCAAATTTTCTCCCAATTTTCCCCCATTTTTCCCCATTTTTTGCCGCTTTTTATCCGATCTTTTCCTAATTTTTACCAATTTTCCCCGTTTTTTCCTCAAATTTTTCCTCATTTTTTCTTCCTATTTTTCCCCATTATATTCCAAATTTTTCCACAATTTTTCCCCATTTTTCCACAATTTTATCCCCAATTTTTCTCACAGTTTTCCCCAATTTTTGGCCAATTTTCCCCCATTTTTTCTCCATTTTTCGGCCAATTTTTGCCGTTTTTTTCGCCGTTTTTTCCCCAATTTTCACCCAATTTTTCCCAATTTTGGCTGATTTTGCCCCAAATTCATTTCCATTTTTCTCTCACCATCAGACAAGGTGGTCACAGAGATCTCCTGCGCTGCCACCCCCTCTCCGTGCCGGTTGGATCCCAAAATTCTCAGCCGATATTCCTGGAATTTCCTCAGGCCCTCCAGGAGGAACGAGCGGCCGGAGACGTCCAGGGACTGGAGATGGGGAAATGGGGGAAAAATGGGGGAAATTGGGAAAAATTGGGGAAAATTTGGGATTAAATGGGGGGAAATTTGGAGAAAATTGGTAAAAAAATTTGGGGGAAAATTGGGGAAAAATTGGGGAAAAAATGGGGGAAAATGGGGGGAAAATTGGGGAAAAATTTGGGGGGAAATTGGGGGAAATGGAGAAAAAATTGGGGAAAAAATGGGGGAAAATGGGGGGAACATGGGGGAAATTGGGAAAAAAAATTAGGGGAAAATGGGGGGAAAATTGGGGAAAAATTGGGGGAAAATGAGAAAAAATTGGGGAAAATTTGGGGGAAAACGGGGCAAAATTGGGGGGAAATAGAGAAAAAATTGGGAGGAAATTGGAAGAAAAATGGAGAAAAAAACTGGGGGAAAATTGGGAAAAATTTGGGGAAAAATTGGGAAGAAGTTGGGGGAAAATTGGGGGAAAAATGGGGGAAATTCTGAAAAAAATTTGGGAAAAATTTGGGATAAAATGGGGGAAATTGGGAGAAAATTGGGAAAAAATTGGGAGAAATTTGGGGGAAAATGGGGGGAAAATTGGGGCGGAATTTGGGAAAAATTGGGGGAAAATTGGGAGAAAATTGGGGGAAATAGGGGAAGAATTGGTAAAAAATTTGGGATAAAATGGGGGGAAATTGGGGGAAAATGGAGAAAAAATGGGGGAAATGGGGAGAAAAATGGGGAAAAATTGGGAAAAATTTGGGATTAAATGGGGGAAAATTGGGAGAAAATTGGTGGAAATTTGGGGGAAAATTGGAGGAAAAATGGGGGAAATTGGTAAAAAAATTTGGAAAAATTTGGGATAAAATGGTGGAAAATTGGGGGAAAATGGGGAAAATTTGAGAGAAATTTTGGGAAAAATTCGGGATAAAATGGGGGAAATTGGGGGGAAATGTAGAAAAAATTGGGGGAAAATTTGGGAAAAATTGGGGGGAAAATGGGAAATTTGGGGAAAAAATTGGGAGAAAAATGGGGGGGAATGGTGAAAATTTGGCAGAAAAGTGGGAAAAATTTTGGGGGAAAATTGGGAGAAAATTGGGGGAAAATTGAGGGAAAATTGGTAAAAAATTTGGGATAAAATGGGTGGAAATTGAGGGCAAATGGAGAAAAAATTGGGGAAAAATTGGGGGTAAAATTAGGGGAAAATTGGGAAAAAATTTGGGATAAAATGGGTGGAAATTGGGGGGAAAATTGGGAAAAATTTGGGGGAAATTGGGAAATAATTGGGAGAAAATTTGGAATATAAGGGGGAAAATTGGGAGAAAATTGGAGTAAATTTGAGGGAAAATTGGTAAAAAATTTGGATAAATTGGGGGAAAATTGGGGAAAATTTGGGGAAAATTGGAGAAACATTGAGGGAAAAATGGGGAAAACATTTGGGGATAAAATTGGGAAAAATTGGGGGGGAAAATTGGGGGTAAAATTGGGGAAAATTTGGGGGAAAAATGGTGAAAATTTGAGAGAAATTTGGGAAACATTTCAGGAAAAAAAATGGGGAAAATTGGGGGAAAATTGGGCAAAAAATAGAGGAAAAATTGGGGAAAATTTGGGGGAAAAATGGTGAAAATTTGAGAGAAATTTGGGAAACATTTCAGGAAAAAAAATGGGGAAAATTGGGGGAAAATTGGGCAAAAAATAGAGGAAAAATTGGGGAAAATTAAAGAAAAAATAGGAAAAAATGGGAAAGAAATGTGGAAAAAATTGGGAAAAAATGAGAAAAAAAAAGGAAAAAAAAGGAGAAAAATTTGGAAAACAGTGGGGAAAATTTAGGGAAAAAATTTTCCTCAAAAAAATTGAGGAAAAATGGGGGAAAAAATGGGAAATAATTAGGGAAATGCAGAAAAATTGGGAAAAAATAGAAAAAAAAGGGGAAAAATAAGAAAACATTTTTGGAAACAAATCAGGAAAAATTGGGAAAAAAATGGGAAAAAAATAGGAAAAAATGGAGGAAAATTTGGAAAAAATTTGAGGGAAAATTGGGGGAAAATAGGAAAAAATTGGGGAAAAATAAGAAAATATTTTGGAAACAAATCAGATAAAATTTGAGGAAAAATTGGGAAAAATTAGAAAAAATACAGAAAAAATTAAGAAAAAAATGGAAGAAAATTTGGAAAAAATTGGGGAAAAATAAGAAAATATTTTGGAAACAAATCAGATAAAATTTGAGGAAAAATTGGGAAAAATTAGAAAAAATACAGAAAAAATTAAGAAAAAAATGGAAGAAAATTTGGAAAAAATTGGGGAAAAATAAGAAAATATTTTGGAAACAAATCAGATAAAATTTGAGGAAAAATTGGGAAAAATTAGAAAAAATACAGAAAAAATTAAGAAAAAAATGGAAGAAAATTTGGAAAAAATTGGGGAAAAAATAGGAGAAAATTGAGAAAAAATGGGGAAAAATTGGGATGAAAATTGGACAAAAATAGGAAAAACTTGGGAAAAAATAAGAAAATATTTTGGAAACAAATCAGAAAAAATTGAGAAAAAATAGGGAAAAAATTGGGGGAAAATTGAAAAAAATTGGGAAAAAATGAAAGAAAATTTGGAAAAAATTTGGGGAAATTTGGGGAAAATTTGAAGAAAAATTGGAGGAAAAATAGGAAAAAATTGGGGGAAAAGAAGAAAATATTTTGGAAACAAATCGGAAACAATTGAGAAAAAATTGGGAAAAAATGAAAGAAAATTTGGAAAAAATTGGGGAAAATAGGAAAAACTTGGGGGAAAAGAAGAAAATATTTTGGAAACAAATCGGAAACAATTGAGAAAAAATTGGGAAAAAATTTTTTAAAAAATTGGGAAAAAATTAAGAAAAAATGGAGAAAAATTTGGAAAAAATTTGGGGAAATTTGGGGAAAATTTGAAGAAAAATTGGTGGAAAAATAGGAAAAAATGAGAAAAATGGGGAAAAATTGGAGAACAATTGGAAAGAAAATTGGGGAAAATAGGAAAAAATTGGGGGAAAAGAAGAAAATATTTTGGAAACAAATCGGAAACAATTGAGAAAAAATTGGGAAAAAATTTTTTAAAAAATTGGGAAAAAATTAAGAAAAAATGGAGAAAAATTTGGAAAAAATTGGGGAAAATTTGGAGAAAAATTGATGGAAAAAATAGGAGAAAATTGAGGAAAAATGGGGAAAAAATTGGGAAATAATTGGGGGAAAATGGGGGAAAAATTGAAAAGAAAATTGGGGGAAAAGAAGAAAATATTTTGGAAACAAATCAGAAAAAAATTAGAAAAAGTAGGAAAAAATTTGGAAAAAAAATAGGAAAAATGGAGGAAAATCTGGAAAAAAATTGGGGAAAATTTGGAGAAAAATTGGGGGAAAAATAGGAAAAAATTGAGGAAAAATGGGGAAAAAATTGGGAAAAAAATTGGGGAAAATTTGGAGAAAAATTGGGGGAAAAATAGGAAAAAATTGAGGAAAAATGGGGAAAAAATTGGGAAGAAAATTGGGGAAAAAATAGAAAAAAAATGGGGAAATTTTTGAAAAAATTGGGGAAAATTTGGGAGGAAAAAGGGAAATAATTTGAATTTTTTAACCTGTTCTTTTCCTGTTTCTGTTTCTTTCCAGAAGAGGCGAAATCCCAGGATGGGAGGGTCAGAAAATGCAGGAGGATCCCAAAAAATCTGGATGGAAGTGGGAGAAACTGGAAAAGCTCGGAAATTCTCCACAGGGCCGGGGGTTTGGGCTGGAAAAGAGAGAAAAAATAATGAAAAAATTTAAAAAAAATAGGAAAAAAATTAAAAATTTGCATGGAAAATTTAAAAGTTCTGGGAAAAATCAAAAATTTCCATGAAAAAATCTAAAAATTTGGGGAAAAAAATAAAAATTTCCATAAAAAAAAAATCTGGGAAAAATCAAAAAATTTTCAGGAAAAAATTCTGGGAAAAATCCCAAAAATTTCAGGGAAAAATAAAAAAAATCTGTGGAAAATCTGAAAAATTTTAGGAAAAAATCAAAAAATCTGGGGGAAAAAACAAGTTTCCATGAAAAATTAAAAATTCTGTGAAAAAATCAAAAATTTCCATTAAGACAGAAAAAATTCTGGGAAAAAAATAAAAAAATTTCCATGAAAAATGAAAAAATTCTGGGAAAAAAACCCAAAAATTCAATGAAAAATTCAAAAATTTTGGGAAAAATATCAAAAATTTCAGGAAAAAAATGAAAAATTCTGGGAAAAAATTAAAATTTTTCAGGGAAAAATAAAAAAATTCTGGGAAAAACCCCAAAAATTTCAGCAAAAAATCAAAAAATTCTGGGAAAAAACCCAAAAATTTCAATGAAGAATGAAAAAAATTCTGGGAAAAAATAAAAAATTTCAGGAAAAAAAATCTGGGGAAATCCCAAAAATTTCAGGGAAAAATCCAAAAATTCTGGGAAAAAATAAAAAATTTCAGGAAAAAAAATCTGGGGAAATCCCAAAAATTTCAGGGAAAAATCCAAAAATTCTGGGAAAAAATAAAAAATTTCAGGAAAAAAAATCTGGGGAAATCCCAAAAATTTCAGGGAAAAATCCAAAAATTCTGGGAAAAAATAAAAAATTTCCATGAAAATTGAAAAAATCTGGGGAAAAAAAATCAAAAATTTCCATAAAAAAAATAAAAAATTCTGGGGAAAAACCCCAAAAATTTCAGGAAATAATTTAAAAATTTGGGGAAAAATCAAACATTTCTGGGAAAAATTAAAAATTCTGGGAAAAATCCCAAAAATTTCAGGAAAAAAAAATCTAAAAATTCTGGGATAAAACAAAAATTTCCATGAAAAATGAAAAAATTCTGGGAAAAAAATCAAAAATTTCAGGGAAAAATAAAAAAATTCCATGAAAAATCTTAAAAATTCTGTTTAAAAAAGGAAGAAAACCCAAAAATTCCAGCAAAAAAATCAATTTAAAAAGGCTAAAAAAAATTCAAAAATTCAATTAAAAAATCCCAACATTTTCATTAAAAAAAACAATTAAAATTTCATGGGAAAAAAGGTTGGAAAATTAAAATAAAAATCGATGAAAAAAAGTTTAAATTTCACAAAAAAAATCCCCAAAATTCCAGGAGAAAAAAAAAAACTGAAAAAAGATGTAAAAAATCCACCAAAAAAATCCTTAAAATTCTGCACAAAAATTAAAAAAAAATCTAGAAAAAAATTTAAAAATTCAATTTAAAAAACCCTGAAAATTTCCTGAAAAAAAAATCTGAAAAAATCCTAAAATTCAAGAAAAAATCCCAAAATTCCATTTAAAAAACACAGAAAATTTCAAGAAATTCTACAGAAAAAATCCCCAACTTTTCATTAAAAAATCCCAAAAATTTCATTTAAAAATTGGAATTTTCTGGGAATTTTGCCCAAAAATTCCATTAAAATCCTCCAAAAATCCCTTTAAAAAATCAGATTTTCGCCCCTCCCAACCCCATTTTTTGGGGATTTTTTCCCTTTTCCCCCCAAAATTCAAAAAAATTCCCAAAAAATTCCCAAAAGATTCCCAAATTTTGGGCTACTCACGTTCAGGACGGGTGGAAATTCTCAGGACTGCGGAAATTTTGCCAGCTCCAAATTGGTTGGAAGCGAAAATTCGGAATTTGTAGGAATTTTCTGGCTCCAAATTGCCCACAGAAATTCCAGGTTGGGAGGTGTTCAAGGCTCTTTCCCTAAAAAAAATAAAGAAAAATTAAAATTTTGGCGAAAATCCCTTAAAATAAAAAAAAAAAAATTTAAATCCCCCCAAAAAAGCCAAAATTTCCCTTTAAAATCCTTACAAATCCCAAATAATTCCTTTAAAAATCCAACAAAAATCCCTGAAAATTAAAAAAAAAGAATCCTTGGAAAATCCCAGAAATTTCCCTCAGAATCCTTTAAAAATCCTGCTCAACCCCCACAAAAATCCTTTTAAAAACCAAAAAAAATCCCTCAAATCCCTAAAAACCCCAAAAAATTCCCAGATTTTTGTAAATCCCAAGAATTCCATGGAAAAATTCCCTAAAAAATAAAAATCCTTGGAAAATTTGCGAATTCTCTCTCAGATTCCTTCAAAAAGCCCTCACAACCCCTCAGAAATGCTTTCAAAAATCCCCTAAAAATTATCAAAAATAAAAAAAAAAACCCAAAAAAATCCCAGCTTTTCCCAAATCCCAAGAATTTCACGGAAAAAATCCCTTGAAAAATAATTTAAAAAGAAATATTTCAAAATCCCTCAAATCTCCCTCAGAATCCTTCCGAAAGCTCGCACTACCCGTCACAAATGCCTTCCAAAATTCCCTAAAAACCCCAAAAAAATCCTAAAAAACCCTGAAAATGTCCTTAAATCCCATAGGAAACCCATAAAATTCCCAAATTCCAAGAATTCCATGGAAAAATTCCCTAAAAAAGAAAAAAAAATCCTTGGAAAATTTGCAAAGTCTCCCTCAGAATCCTTCAAAAAGCCCTCACAACGCCTCAGAAATGCCTTCAAAATCACCCTAAAAATCGCCTAAAACTCAAAAAAATTCTCAAAAATCCCTAAAAAAGCCAAAAAAATCCCATTTTTTCCCAAATCCCAAGAATTTCATGGAAAAAAATTCCTTGAAAATAATAATAATAAAAAAACTAAAATATTTCAAAATCCCTCAAATCTCCCTCAGAATCCTTCGGAAAGCCCTCACAACCCGTCACAAATGCCTTCCAAAATTCCCTAAAAATCCCCCAAAAAAATCCTACAAAAACCCTGAAAAAGTCCTTAAATCCCATTGGAAACCCATAAAATTCCCAAATTCCAATAATTCCATGGAAAAATTACAAAAGAAAACTCCTTCAAAATCCTTGGAAAACTTGCAAATTATCTTTGGAAAGCCCTCACAACCACTCAGAAATGCCTTCAAAAATCCCCTAAAAAACCCCAACAAAAATCTTTTAAAAAGCTAAAAATCCAAAAAAATTCTGAAATTCATTCAAATCCTTAAAAATAAAAAATAAATTCTTGGGAAATCCCTCAAATCTCCCTCAGAATCCTTAGAAAAGCCCTCATAACCCCTCAGAAATGCCTTCCAAAATTCCCTAGAAATCCTAAAAAAAACCTTTAAGAAACCCCAAATCACCTCAAATCCAAAAAAAAAAAAAAAAAAAAACCACGTAAAATTCCCAAATCCCAAGAATTCTATGGAAAAAATTTCTTGGGGAAAAAAAAAATTTAAAAAAAAAAAAATCCTTGAAGTCCTTGAAAATCTCTCAAGTCTCCCTTCAGGATCCTTCAAAAAGACCCTCAGAACCGCCTTCAAAAATCCCCTAAAAATTCCCAAAAAAATCCTTTAAAACCCCAAGAAACTTCTAAAACCCCACAAAATTCCCAGATTTTCCCAAATCCCAAGGGAAAATTGCCGACCTGGCCGCTCCTTCGCGGGAGTAGAGGACGGTGTAGTGCAGGAGGCTCCCGCGGGGCTCGGCGGGCGGGCGCCATGTCAGGCGGATGAAGCGGCTGGAGACGAGCGAGGCCCTCAGGTCCTGAGGGGCTGAGGGGAGCAGGGCGGGGTCAGCCAGCTCTGAGGGGAGAAAAAAGAGCGGGAAGAGGTGAGCTGAGGGGAGAGGGGAAAGGGGAAAAAGGAGGTAAAAATAGGATAAAAATTGGTACAAAAAAAAAAAATAGGGGTAAAAATGGGGGGAAATTGGAGAAAATTGGGGGAGAAAGCGGGAAAATTTGGGGGAAATGGGGAAAAATGGGTAGAAAAATTGTGAGAATATGGGGGAAATTGGGGAGAAATTAAGGAAAAAATGGGGGGAATGGGATAAAAATGGGAAAAATTGGGGGAAAATGGGGGAAATTGGAGGAAAATGGAACAAAAATGGGAAAAATTGGAGGAAAATGAAAGGAAAAATGTGAGGAAAAAATGGGAGGAAGGGGGGGAATTGGGAAAAATGGGGGGAAATTGGGAGGAAAAAATTGAAAGAAATTGTAGGAAAATGAGAAAAAATAGAGGAAAAAAATAGGGAAAATTTGGTGGAAAATGGGGGGAAAATTAAGAAAAATTGGGATATAATGGGAGGGGAAAATTGGAAGAAAATGGGGGGAACAAAGGGAAATAAATTGGGGGAAGATTGGGAGAGAAATGGGAGGAAGAATGGGAAAACCTGAAAAAAATGGGGGGAAATAGGATAAAAATGAGAGGAAAGTGGAAATCCCAAAAAAAAAAATCAAAAATTTAATGAAAACTCATTAAAATTCAAATTTCAAAAAAATTTAAATCCTTAAAATTCTTTAAAAAATAAAAACAAATTCCCCCAAAATTCCTTTAAGAATCACAAAGAAATTTCACTAAAAATCCCTAAAGTTCACAAAAAGTCCTTTAAAAATGCACCAAAAAGATCCCAAAAAATTCAACCAAAAATCTCAATGAACTCAAAAAAAATCCCAAAAACCCCCAAAAATTTGCAATAAATCCCAAAAAAATCCTCAAAAATTCCACAAGAATTAAAAAAAAACCCCAAAAATTTAAAAAAATCCCTAAAAATTCCCCCAAAAATCCCCAAAATTTCCAAAAATTTTCCCAAAAATCTCAATAAATAAAAATATCCGAAAATATCAAGGAATATCCCAAAAATTAAAGAAATTTAAAAAAATAAAACAAAAACCTCCACAAAAATTCCTAAAAAAAAATCCAGAAAAAATTCCCAAAAATATAAAAAAAATTTAAAAAATTCTTAAAAATTCACAAAAAAATTTTAAAATCAAAAAAATCCCCAAAAAATAAAAAAAATTCCCCCCAAATCACTAAAAATTTAAAAAAAATCACAAAAAAGCCAAAAAATCTAAAAGAATCTTCAAAACATCCCAAAAAATTCCTAAAAAATTCACCAAAAATTCCTAAAAAATTTTAAAAATCCTAAAAAATTCCAAAAAAATTCCCCCAAAAAAATTCCCCAAAAAATCCCCCAAAAATTCCCCAAAAATTTCCAAAAAATCAAAAAAGTCCGAAAAATTTAAAGAAATTTTTTAAAATTCCCATTAAATTCCACAAAAATTTCCTAAAAATTCAAAGAAAAAAAAAATCCCCCCAAAATTTCCCAAAAATATCCCCAAAAATTAAAAAAAAATCCTTAATAATTCACAAAAAATTCAAAAATAATTTAAAAATCCACAAAAATAAAATAATTCTTAAAAATCCACTGGAAAAATCCCAAAAAAATCTCCAAAATATAACCCAAAAATTTCCAAAAATTCCCAAAAAACCCCTAAAAATTCACAAAAAAGCTAAAAAAAAAAAAATCTCCAAAAATATCCAGAAAATCCCCCAAATTCCCCAAAAATTTCTAAAAAAACCTCCTAAAATAATCCCAAAAAAATTCCTAAAAATGAAAAAAAATCCCCAATATTCCCCAAAAAATAAAAAAAATCCCAAAAAAAAGCCCAAAAATTTCTGCAAAAAATTTTTTAAAAATCAATAAATTAAAAAATCCCAAAATACCAAAACAATCCCAAAAAATTAAAGAAATTTAAAAAATCATACAAAAAAACTCCACAAAAGATTCCAAAAAAATTCCCCAAAAAATTCCAAAAAATATCTCTAAAAATTCCCCCCAAAAAAGATCCCAACATTTTCAATACTCAAAAAAATCCCCCCAAAAAATTCCTCCCAAAATTTCCAAAAATTTCAAAAAAATCCTTAAAATTTCACAAAAAATTGAAAAAATCCCCAAAAAATCTCAAAAATTGAAAAAATCCATAATATTCCCCAAAAAATTGAAAAAAATTCCCCAAAAATCCCAAAAAATCTAAAAAAAAATCCCCCAAAATACCAAAAATGTCTAAAAAATTCCAAAAAATCCTTAAAATTTCACAAAAAATTGAAAAAGAATCCCCAAAATTGAAAAAAATCCAAAACATTCCCCAAAAAATCCCCCAAATCCCCCAAAAATAAAAAAATCTCCCCAAAATTTCCCAAAATTTTTAAAAATTCAGGAAACAATCCTTAAAATTTCACAAAAAACTGAAAAAATCCCAAAAAATCAGAAAAAAAAATCCAAAACATTCCCAAAAAATCCCCAAAAATGTCTAAAAAATTCCAGAAAAATACCTAAAAATTCACAAAAAATAAAAAAATTATGAAAAAAATCCCTCAAAAATCAAGAAAATCTCAAAAAAACCCCAAAAATTTCCCCCAAAAATCCCCCAAAATTAAAAAAAAATTCCTAAAAATTCACTAAAAAATTCCCAAAAATTGGAAAAAATCCAAAACGTTCACCAAAAATTCCCAAAAAAAATCCCCCCCAAAAATCCCCAAAATTTCTAAAAAATTCAAAAAAATCCTTAAAATTTCACAAAAAATTGAAAAAATCCCCAAAAAATCTCAAAAATTGAAAAAATCCATAATATTCCCCAAAAAATTGAAAAAAATTCCCCAAAAATCCCAAAAAATCTAAAAAAAAATCCCCCAAAATACCAAAAATGTCTAAAAAATTCCAAAAAATCCTTAAAATTTCACAAAAAATTGAAAAAGAATCCCCAAAATTGAAAAAAATCCAAAACATTCCCCAAAAAATCCCCCAAATCCCCCAAAAATAAAAAAATCTCCCCAAAATTTCCCAAAATTTTTAAAAATTCAGGAACCAATCCTTAAAATTTCACAACAAACTGAAAAAATCCCAAAAAATCAGCAAAAAAAATCCAAAACATTCCCAAAAAATCCCCAAAAATGTCTAAAAAATTCCAGAAAAATACCTAAAAATTCACAAAAAATAAAAAAATTATGAAAAAAATCCCTCAAAAATCAAGAAAATCTCAAAAAAACCCCAAAAATTTCCCCCAAAAATCCCCCAAAATTAAAAAAAAAATTCCTAAAAATTCACTAAAAAATTCCCAAAAATTGGAAAAAATCCAAAACGTTCACCAAAAATTCCCAAAAAAAATCCCCCCCAAAAATCCCCAAAATTTCTAAAAAATTCAAAAAAATCCTTAAAATTTCACAAAAAAAATCTCGAAATTGTAAAAAAACATTCCAAAACATTCCCCAAAAATCCCCAAAAATTCCCCAAAAATCCCCAAAAAATAAAAAAACTCCAAAAAATCCCAAAATTTCTAAAAAATTCCAAAAAAATCCTAAAAAAATCCCTAAAAATTCAGAAAATCCCTAAAATTCCCCAAAAAATAAAACAATTCCCAATAAAATCCCCCCCCAAAAAATCCCTCAAAAATCCCAAAAATTTCTGCAAAAGTTTTTTAAAAATCAATAAATAAAAAATCCCAAAATATCAAAACAATCCCAAAAAATTAAAGAAATTTAAAAATCATACAAAAAAACTCCACAAAAAATTCCCCACAATATCCCTCAAAATTCCTCAAAAAAAAAAATTCCCCCAAAATTTTTTGAAAAATTCTCAAAAAAAAAAAAAATCCCCCAAAAATAAAAAAATCTCAGAAAAATCCCCAAAAAATCCTCCAAAAATTCCCCCCAAATTTTTTGAAAAAAAAAAAAATTCCTAAAAAAATCCCCAAAAAATCCTCCAAAAATTCCCCCCAAATTTTTTGAAAATTCCCCAAAAAAAAAAAAATCCCCCAAAAATAAAAAAATCTCAGAAAAATCCCCAAAAAATCCTCCAAAAATTCCCCCCAAATTTTTTGAAAATAAAAAAAATTCCTAAAAAAATCCCCAAAAAATCACACCAAATTTTAAAAATAATTTGATTTTTTTTTGCCTTACCAGGATCGAGGACGATGAGTTGGGCGATGCTCTGGGAACTCCCAGCTTCGTTCCTGGCCATGCACTGATAAAATCCCTCGTCGGATTTTACCAAACCCAAAATCCTTAAATTGCTGCCACCCTGAAAGAAAAAAAATGGGATTAAAATTGGAATTTTATCCCAAAAATGCCCTCTAAAAATCCCAAAAATCACCTCAGAAAAAACCCCAAAAATATTGGAAAAAAAAAATTCACAAAAAGGCAAAAAAATGCAGGAAAAAAAAATGTTATAATTGAAAAAACATCCAAAAAAATCAGTGAAAAATTCGGAAATATTCTGAAATATTCCAAAACAAATTTTCTAAAAAATGACAAAAATATCCCCCAAAATTCAAAAAAAAGAAAAAAAATTTCAAAAAAATCCCCCAAAATCCCAAAATAATTTTTAAAAAACCTGGAAAAGTAATTTAAAAAATTTAAAAATGAAAAAAAATCCCCAAAATATTAAAAAGCATTTTCAAAATTTTACTAATCTGTAAGAAACACATTAAAAAGTCTAAAAAATTATGTAAAAAAATTCTAAAATTGCATTAAAATAAATCCTAAAAAAATTTTTTAAAAATCCTCCAAAAAATCTGGAAAAAAAAATCCTAAAAAAATTATTTAAAATCCCCCCAAAAAATCCCCATTAAAAACCTAAATTTTTTTTAAATCCAAAAGTTTTGTTAAAAAAACAATAAAATTCCAATCAAATTCTAACAAATTCAAAAATAATTCCTTTAAAAATCTCAAAAAATCCAAAAATTTGAGAAAAAAATCTGAAAAATCACAAGAAATCATGAAAAAAATCTCAACAATATCCTAAAAAATCCTAAATAAAATCTGTAAAAATTATGTTAAAAAGCTTTTAAAAATCCATTAAAAATCCCCAAAAATCCGAATAAATTTGCAATAAATTCCAAATAAATTCACAAATAAATTTTTAAAAAATCCCCAAAAATCCACAAGAAATTCCATTGAAATTTTTAAAAATTCCAAAAAAATCCCAAAATATTCCCAAAAAATTTGCAATAAATCTGCATAAATAATTTTTTTAATTCTTAGAAAGTCCTATAAAAAATTGTTTAAAAAAAAATCTGAAATAAAATCCCCCAAAATCCCAAAATATTTCCAATAAATTCCAAATAAATGACAAAAAATCCAGTAAAAATTAAAAAAAATCAAAGAAAAATCTGAAAGAAAAAATTTTAAAAAATCAAAAAAATCCCTAAAAATAGAAAAAAATCCCAAAATATTTACAATAAATCCCAATAAAATCGCCCAAAAAATCGCCCAAAAATCAAAAAAAATCCTAAAAAATTTTTTAAAAATCCAACAAAATCACAAAAACTAGAAAAAAAATCCCAAAATATTTACAATAAATCCCAATAAAATCGCCCAAAAAATCGCCCAAAAATCAAAAAAAATCCTAAAAAATTTTTTAAAAATCCAACAAAATCACAAAAACTAGAAAAAAAATCCCAAAATATTTACAATAAATTCCAATAAAGTACCCCAAAAAATCCCCAAAAAATCCTAAAAAATCGCAAAAAAAATCACAATAAATCCCCGTAAAATTCAAAAAAGATCCCCAAAAATTCCCAATAAATTCCTGATAAATTCCCAAAATATCCCCCCAAAATTCCCATTTTTTCCCCAAAAACTCACCACAATCTGGAAATAATCTCCGGGTATCACGACCTCTCCATTTTTCAGCCACTGCACGCTCGGTGTGGGGTTTCCTCCCACGGAACATTCCAGCTCCACGTCCCAGCGCTCGCGCCCATAGAGGTTGGACGGACGCACCAGGAAAAATGGAGGAACTGCCCCAAAAATTCAGGAAAAAAAGGTTGGAAATTTGGGAATTTTGGAATTTTTTCCCTCTTTTTTTTCACCCCCACTTTTTTTTTCCTGATTTTTCCCCCCCATTTTCTTTTTCTCACTCTTTTTTCCCCTCATGATTTCCCTGCCATTTTCCCCTCATGATTTTTCCACCATTTTTTCCCCCTCATGATTTTCCCTCCATTTTTTCCCCTCATGATTTTCTCACCATTTTTTCCCCCTCATGATTTTCCCACCATTATTTTCCTTTCATGACTTTCCCATTTTTTTCCCCACCATTTTTTTCCACCTCATGATTTTCCCAGCATTTTTTTCCCCTCATGATTTTCCCACCATTTTTTCTGTCATAATTTTCCCACCATTTTTTCCCCTCATGATTTTCCCACTTTTTTCCCCACCACTTTTTTCCACCTCATGATTCTCCCAGCATTTTTTCCACCTCATGATTTTCCCAGCATTTTTTCCCCCTCATGATTTTCCCACCATTATTTTCTCCTCATGGTTTTCCCACCATTTTTTTTCCTGCCTTTTTTCCCCTCCATTTTTCCCCCTCACAAAAAGTTTTCCCGCCCTTTGTTTCCCACCATATTTCTCTCACAAAACTGAGGAACTGCCCCAAAAAATTGGGGAAAAAAGGTTGAGAATTTTGGGATTTTTTTCCGCTTTTTTCCCACCACTTTTTTCCCCTCACAAAAGTTTTTCCCGCCTTTTCTTTTTTCTGCCATTTTTGGCAGGAAAAAAAAAGGTGGGAAGTCTTTATTTTGGAGGGAAAATTTGGTGGGAAAACCTTTAGAAAGAAACAAAAAAAGGCGGGAAAATTTAATTTTGTGGGGGAAAAAAAGGTGGGAAAATTTCATTTTGTGGGGGAAAAAAGGCGGGAAAATCATGAAGGGAAAAAAAGGTGAGAAAATTTTATTTTGAGGGGGAAAAAGGTGGGAAAAAAAGGCAGAAAATTTGGCGGGAAAATTTTATTTTGGAGGAAAAACTTGGTGGGAAATTTTGGCAGGAAAACCTTTTGAGAGAAGGACAAAAAGGCGGGGAAAAAAGGCGGGAAAACCATTTTGTGAGAAAAAAAGGCAGAAAAAATTTATTTTCTGAGAGAAAAATGGCGGGAAAATTTGATTTTGGATGGAAATTTTGTTGGGAAAACCTTTGGCGAGAAGACAAAAAAGAAAAAGACAAGAAAATTTCATTTTGGGAGGGGGGGAAAGCAGGAAAATTTGGCAGGAATATTTTATTTTTGAGGGAAAATTTGACGGGAAATTTTGGCGGGAAAACTTTATTTTGTCACCAAAAAAGGCAGAAAAATTTCGTTTTCTGGGGGAAAAAGGCAGGGAAAAAAGGGCATATCACGAGGGGAAAAAGCAGGTGGGAAAATTTAATTTTGAAGGGAAATTTTGGCGGGAAATTTGGTGGGAAATTTTGGCAGGAAAACCTTGTGAGGGAAGGAGGAAAATGGAGGGAAATTTTGGCTGGAAAACTTAATTTTGTTAGGAAAAAAGGCAGAAAAATTTCATTTTCTGGGAAAAAAAGGCAGGAAAAAAGGGAAAATAACGAGGGGAAAAAAATGTAGGAAAATTTAATTTTGGAGGGAATTTTGGCGGGAAATTTTGGTGGGAAAACCTTGTGAGGGAAGGGGGAAAATGGAGGGAAATTTTGGTGGGAAAACTTTATTTTGTCACCAAAAAAGGCTGAAAAATTTCATTTTCTGTGGAAAAAAAGCAGGAAAAAAGGGAAAATCATGAGGAGAAAAAAATGTGGGAAAATTTAATTTTGGAGGGAAATTTTGGCGGGAAAGCTCACCCAGGACGTCCAGGCGGGCGCTGGCGCTGTCATTGGTGTCACCGAAATCGACGAGGCAGGTGTAAAGCGCTGAGTCAGCAGAAGTGACGTTGCTGATGCGGAGGTTGCTCCCGGCCAGGAGGGAATATTTGGGAGAGCTAGAAGAAAAATTTGGGAATTTTTGGAGGTTTGAAAGGGGAAATGGGGAAAAAAGAGGGAGATTTGGTGAAAATTAAAAAAAAAAATGGAGAAAATCGGAGGGAAATTGAGGGGTAAATGGTGAAAAAAAGGGAAAAAATGGAAATAAAATGCTGAATAAATCCACTAAAAAATCCAGTAAAAATAGAAATAAAATTTTTTTAAATCTCAAAAAAATCTAGAAAATTTCCCATAAAATTTCTAAGAAAACCCACCAAAAAAATCTCAAAAATACCCCAAAAAATCCCCCCCAAATCCCATTAAAATAAAAAAAAAAATCACAAAAAATACCCAAAAAATCCACCAAAATAAAAAAAAAATCTGAAAAAAGCCCAAATAAAATTTTTAAAACTCTGAAAAAAATCCCCCCAAAAATCACAGAAAAGTCTTTAAAAAATCCCTAAAAATTCTGGAAAAAAACCCCAAAAATTCCAAAAAAATTCCTAAAGATTCTGGATTAAATCCAAATAAAACCCAAATAAATTCAAGAAAATCCCTAAAAAATATGAAAATAATCCAAATAAAATCTCCAATAAAACCCCAAAAAACTTTAAAAAATCAAAATAAAATCCCAAAAAATTCCCAAAAAATTCCTCAAAAAATCTGAATAAAATGAAAATAAATCCAAATTAAACCCAAATAAAATCCTGAAAATTTCCAACAAAATTCCCAAAAATCCCGCAGAAATCAGAACAAAATCCTGAACAATTCCCAAAAAAACCCCCAAAAAATCCAAATAAAATTTGTAAAAAATCCAAAAAACTCCCAAAAAATTCCAAAGAAAATCCACATAAAATCTGAAAAAATCCCCAAAAATTCCTAAAAAATTCCCAAAAAATTCCAAGTAAAAACGGAATAAAATGTGAAAAAAGTTCCCCCCCCCCAAAAAATCCCCAAAAATCCCAAAAAAATCTGCAAAAAATTCCCCAAAAATAAAAAAAAAATCCAAAAAATTCCAAGTGAAATAAAAACTGAAAAAAATCCCCCAAAATTCCAAAGAAAATCCAAAGAAAATCTGAAAAAATCCCCCAAATTCCTAAAAAATTCCCAAAAAATTCCAAATAAAAACGGAGTAAAATATGAAAAAATTCCCCCCCCCAAAAAAAAATCCCCAAAAATCCCAAAAAAATCTGCAAAAAATTCCAAAAGAAAAAAAAAATCAAATAAAATCCAAATAAAATCCAAATAAAAATTGTAAAAAATTTTTTAAAAAAAAATCCCCAAAAATTCCTAAAAAATTCCCAAAAAATTCCAAGTAAAAACGGAATAAAATGTGAAAAAAGTTCCCCCCCCCCAAAAAATCCCCAAAAATCCCAAAAAAATCTGCAAAAAATTCCCCAAAAATAAAAAAAAAATCCAAAAAATTCCAAGTGAAATAAAAACTGAAAAAAATCCCCCAAAATTCCAAAGAAAATCCAAAGAAAATCTGAAAAAATCCCCCAAATTCCTAAAAAATTCCCAAAAAATTCCAAATAAAAACGGAGTAAAATATGAAAAAATTCCCCCCCCCAAAAAAAAATCCCCAAAAATCCCCAAAAAATCTGCAAAAAATTCCAAAAGAAAAAAAAAATCAAATAAAATCCAAATAAAATCCAAATAAAAATTGTAAAAAATTTTTTAAAATCCCAAAAAATTGCCAAAAAATTCCCAATTTTCCCCTACCTGATGGCGATGACGTCACCGTCCCGGAGCCACGTGACGGAAGGTTCCGGAAGCCCCGAGGCCGAACACTCGAGGACAGCGTCGCTGCCCTGGCGGGTGCTGACAGCGCTCGGGCGTCGCAGGAAATGCGGAGAGCGCCGGATGGTGGGATCTGCTGAGAGAGAAAATTCCATGGAAAATTCCGGAAAAATGTGGGAAAAATCAAGTTCTAAATTTTCCCCAATTTTCTCCCAATTTTTCTTCAATTTTCCCCCATTTTTCCCAATATTTTTTCAATTTTTTCCACATTTTCTCCCTATTTTCCCTAAATTTTCCCCATTTTTATTCAATTTTCCTCTCCCTCTCACACCCTTTTTCTCCTATTTTCCCCCAATTTTTCCCAAAATTTCCCAAATTTTCTCCAAATTTTTCTCCACTTTTTCCCTCCATTTTCCCCCAATTTTCCCCAATTTTCCCCCAATCCTTCTCTCCCTTTTCCCCCATTTTTCTCCTATTTTCCCCCAACTTTCCCTCAATTTTCCCCAATTTTCTCCCAATTTTTCTCCACTTTTTCCCCAATTTTCTCCCATATTTTGGGCAACTTTTTACTGTATTTCTCCTAATACTCCACCAATTTTCCCCCAATTTTTCCCCAATTTTCTGCGAATTTTTCTCTCCTTCTCACACCATATTTCTCCTATTTCCCCCCTACTTTTGTTCAATTTTCCCCAATTTTTCTCCACTTTTTTTCCAATTTTCTCCCAATTACCCCCAACTTTTTACTGTAATTCTCCTAATACTCCCCCATTTTTACCATATTTCTCCTCATACCCCCTATTTTTTTCCCAATTTTTCCCCAATGTTCTCCCAATTTTTCTCTCCTTCTCACATAATTTTTCCCCTATTTTCTCCCAATTTTTCCCAAAATTTCCCAACTTTTCTCCCAATTTTTCTCCACTTTCTTCCCAATTTTCTCCCAATTACCGCCAACTTTTTACCGTAATTCTCCTAATACTTCCCCATTTTCTTACCGTATTTTTCCTAATACTCCCCCAGTTTCCCCCGATTTTTGCCCAGTCCATTTTTCCCGTATTTTTGCCCAATTTTCCCCCTAATTTTCCCAAATTTTTTCCCAATTTTTTCTGATTTTCCACCCAGTTTTTCTCTAATTTTTGTCCAATTTTCCTTCAACTTTCGCCCAATTTTTCTCCAATTTTCCCCCAATTTCTCCCCCAATTTTTCCCCAATTTTTCCAATTTTTTCTCCAATTTTCCCCAATTTTTCCCCATTTTTGGGCCACCCCAGCACCCGAAGGTTACTGTAGGAATTTCACCTCGGTGAAGGGAGGGAGGTGAAATCCTGCAAAAAAAAAAAAAGGAAATTTCTATTAAATATTTTCCTGAAATTGCCACAAAATTTTTCCCCAATTTTTCCTGAATTTTTCCCAATTTTTCCCCTATTTTTTGCCATTTTTCCCAACTTTTTCCCTATTTTTGCCTAATTTTTCCTAATTTTATTCCAATTTTTCCCCCAAATTTCACCCAATTTTTCTCCTATTTTTGTCCAATTTCCCCCAATTTTTCCCTAATTTTTCCCCTGATTTTTCCCAATTTTCTCCTATTTTTTGCCATTTTTTCCTAATTTTTTTCCCATTTTTTCTCCAATTTTCCTCCATTTTCCTCCAATTTTTTCCCTTATTTTTGTCCAATTTTCCCCTATTTTTTACTATTTTTTCCTAATTTTCCCCCATTTTTTCTCCAATTTTCATAATTTTTTTCTCACATTTTTTCCATTTTTCCCGTATTTTTGCCCAATTTTCCCCCTAATTTTCCCAAATTTTTTCCCAATTTTTTCTGATTTTCCACCCAGTTTTTCTCTAATTTTTGTCCAATTTTCCTTCAACTTTCGCCCAATTTTTCTCCAATTTTCCCCCAATTTCTCCCCCAATTTTTCCCCAATTTTTCCAATTTTTTCTCCAATTTTCCCCAATTTTTCCCCATTTTTGGGCCACCCCAGCACCCGAAGGTTACTGTAGGAATTTCACCTCGGTGAAGGGAGGGAGGTGAAATCCTGCAAGAAAAAAATGGAAATTTTTATTAAAATTTTCCCTGAATATGCCACAAATTTTTCCCCACTTTTTTTTTCCTAATCTTCCCCTATTATTCCCCTTTTTTTCTGGATTTTTCCCAATATTTTCCTGATTTTTTGCCATTTTTCACTTATTTTTTCCCATTTTTTCTCCAATTTTTCCCTCGTTTTTAGCAACTTTTTGTCCAATTTTTACCTAATTTTTCTCAATTTTCCTCCAATTTTTTCTCTTATTTTTGTCCAATTTTTCCCTAACTTTTTCCCCAATTTTTCCTTGAGTTTCTCCCAATTTTTCCCAAATGTTTCTCATTTTTTGGACCCATTTCCCCCCTTTTTCCCACTATTTTCTCCCAATTTTTCTCAATTTTTTGATATTTTTCCCTAATTTCTCCCCATTTTTCTCCAATTTTTCTCAATTTTTTCTCAATTTTTTCTCAATTTTCCTCCAATTTATTCTCTTATTTTTGTCCAATTTTCCCCCAATTTTTCCCACTATTTTTCAACATTTTTCCCTAATTTTTCCATTTTTTCTCCATTATTTTCCCATTTTTTCACCAATTTTCCCCCGAATTTTCACTTATTTTTTGTCCAATTTTTGTCTAATTTTTCCCTATTTTCCTCCAATTTTCCTCCAAATTTGCTCCTAATTTTGCCCAATTTTCCCCCATTTTTTCCCTATTTTTTAATCTTTTTCCTAATTTTTCCCCATTTTTCTCCAATTTTTATAAATTTTTTCTCACATTTTTCCTATTTTCCCCCCAATTTTTTCCTAATTTTTTCCGAATTCTTCCCATTTTTTCCCTATTTTTTAATCTTTTTCCTAATTTTTCCCCATTTTTCTCCAATTTTTATAAATTTTTTCTCACATTTTTCCTATTTTCCCCCCAATTTTTTCCTAATTTTTTCCGAATTCTTCCCATTTTTTCCCTATTTTTTCCCATTTTTCCCTATTTTTCTCCATTTTTTCCACTAATTTTCCTCCAAGTTTTCACTTATTTTGGTCCAATTTTACCCTAATTTTTTCCCATTTTTTCTCTAATTTTTCTGAATTTTCCTCCAATTTTTTCTCTTATTTTTGTCCAATTTTTCCCTAACTTTCTCCCAATTTTTCCCAAATTTTTCTCATTTTTTGGACCCATTTCCCCCCTTTTTCCCACTATTTTCTCCCAATTTTTCTCAATTTTTTGACATTTTCCCCTTATTTCTCCCCATTTTTTCTCCAAATTTTCTCAATTTTTTCTCAATTTTCCTCCAATTTATTCTCTTATTTTTGTCCAATTTTTCCCCAATTTTTTCCCAATTTTTCCTTAATTTTTTCCTTATTTTTGAGTAATTTTTCCTAATTTTATCCCCATTTTCCCACTATTTTCTCCCAGTTTTTCCCATTTTTTTGCCTATTTTCCCTTATTTTTTCCTGATTTTCCTCCAATTTTTCCCATTTTTTCCCCATTTTCCTCCAATTTGTCTCTTATTTTTGTCCAATTTTCCCTCAATTTCTTCCTAATTTTCCCCCAATTCTTCCCTATTTTTAACCATTTTTTCCTAATTTTTCCCCATTTTTTCTCCAATCTTTATAAATTTTTTCTCACGATTTTCCCATTTCCCCCCCAATTTTTACCTATTTTTTGCCCAATTTTCCTTTGATTTTTCTCCATTTTTTCCCAATATTTTCCCCCAATTTTTCCAAATATTTCCCCCAATTTTTCCCTAAATTTTTTGGATTTTTGGGGGATTTTTTGGGAATATTTGGGGCACTTTTGGGGACTTATTCTTGGATTTTTGAGGGATTTTCTCAGGATTTTTTGGGAATATTTTGGGCATTTTTTTTCCTCCAAATTTGCTCCTAATTTTGCCCAATTTTCCCCCATTTTTTCCCTATTTTTTAATCTTTTTCCTAATTTTTCCCCATTTTTCTCCAATTTTTATAAATTTTTTCTCACATTTTTCCTATTTTCCCCCCAATTTTTTCCTAATTTTTTCCGAATTCTTCCCATTTTTTCCCTATTTTTTCCCATTTTTCCCTATTTTTCTCCATTTTTTCCACTAATTTTCCTCCAAGTTTTCACTTATTTTGGTCCAATTTTACCCTAATTTTTTCCCATTTTTTCTCTAATTTTTCTGAATTTTCCTCCAATTTTTTCTCTTATTTTTGTCCAATTTTTCCCTAACTTTCTCCCAATTTTTCCCAAATTTTTCTCATTTTTTGGACCCATTTCCCCCCTTTTTCCCACTATTTTCTCCCAATTTTTCTCAATTTTTTGACATTTTCCCCTTATTTCTCCCCATTTTTTCTCCAAATTTTCTCAATTTTTTCTCAATTTTCCTCCAATTTATTCTCTTATTTTTGTCCAATTTTTCCCCAATTTTTTCCCAATTTTTCCTTAATTTTTTCCTTATTTTTGAGTAATTTTTCCTAATTTTATCCCCATTTTCCCACTATTTTCTCCCAGTTTTTCCCATTTTTTTGCCTATTTTCCCTTATTTTTTCCTGATTTTCCTCCAATTTTTCCCATTTTTTCCCCATTTTCCTCCAATTTGTCTCTTATTTTTGTCCAATTTTCCCTCAATTTCTTCCTAATTTTCCCCCAATTCTTCCCTATTTTTAACCATTTTTTCCTAATTTTTCCCCATTTTTTCTCCAATCTTTATAAATTTTTTCTCACGATTTTCCCATTTCCCCCCCAATTTTTACCTATTTTTTGCCCAATTTTCCTTTGATTTTTCTCCATTTTTTCCCAATATTTTCCCCCAATTTTTCCAAATATTTCCCCCAATTTTTCCCTAAATTTTTTGGATTTTTGGGGGATTTTTTGGGAATATTTGGGGCACTTTTGGGGACTTATTCTTGGATTTTTGAGGGATTTTCTCAGGATTTTTTGGGAATATTTTGGGCATTTTTGTGGAATTTTTGTAGATTTTTTTCAGGATTTTTCAGAATATTTTGGGCATTTTGGAGGATTTTTTAAAGGGATTTTTGGGGGAATTTTGTAGGATTTTTTTTAGGATTTTTTCTGGATTTTTTGGGAACTTTTTTTGTATTTTTGAGGATTTTTTGTGGATTTTTTTGGGAATTTTTGGGCATTTTTTGTGGATTTTTTTAGAGTTTTTTGGGAAATTTTTAGGATTTTTTTCAGGATTTTTGGGAATATTTTGGGCAATTTTGGGGATTTTTTTGGGAATTTTGGGGCATTTTTGGAGGATATTTGGGGGAATTTTTGGGGATTTTTTTTTAAATTGTAGGATTTTTTCAGGATTTTTTGGGAATATTTTGGGCAATTTTTGAGGATTTTTGGGAATTTTTGGGGATTTTTTAGGGGATTTTTTCAATTTTTTTCAGAATATTTTAATCCCAAAAAATCCCCCAAAAATCTCCAAAAATCCCATTAAAAATCCCAATAAAATCCCCCCAAAATTCCAAAAATTATCGCAAAAATCCCATAAAAAATAAAAAAAAATCCTCAAAAAACCCCAAAAATCCAAATAAAATTTCCCAAAAAATTCAAAAAAAAATTTTTAAAATCCCCTAAAGTATCCCCAAAAAATCCCCAAAAATTCCCAAAAATATCCCAAAAAAGTCCCCCAAAAATGTCAAAAAATATCCCAAAAGAAAGAAAAAAAAATCCCCAAAAAATCCTTCCAAAAATCCAAAAAAGTCCCAAAAAATTCCCAAAAAATCCCCAAAAAAATTTAAAAATTCCCCCCATAATTCCCAAAAATTTTCCCCAAAAAATCCTAAAAAATATCCTAAAAAACCCCAAAATTTCCCCCCAAAATTAAACAAAAATACTTTAAAAATTCCCCAAAAATCTAAAATTCCCCCAAAAATAAAAAAAAATTCCCAAAAATTTCCCAAAAAATCCACAAAAAATTCGCCAAAATCCCCGGAATTTAGGCGGGAAATCTCTGGAATTTTGGAGAGAAGAATTGGGAATTTTGGAGTTAAATATTGGGAATTTGGGGATAAAAATGGGGATTTTTGGGTCCTGTAAGGGGAAAAAAATATGGGATTTTTGGGTTAAAAATTGGAATTTTTGGTGTTAAAAAGTGGAATTTTTGGGTTTAAAAATTGGGAATTTTGGGGGATGGATCCAGGGATTTTTGGGTTAAAAATTGAGATTTTTGGGGTCCTGGAAGGGAAAAAAAAAATCAGGATTTTTGGGTTAAAAATTGGAATTTTTGGGGTTAAAAATCGGAATTTTTGGGGATGGAATCCAGGATTTTTAGGGAAGAATCCCTGAATTTTTGGGGCTAAAAATCGGGATTTTTTGGGTTAAAATACAGGAAAATTTGGGTTAAAAATCGGGACTTTTGGGTCCTGGAAGGGCAAAAGAATGAGAATTTTGGGGTTAAAAATCGGGATTTTTGGGGTTAAAAATCGGATTTCTTTTAGGGTTAAACGCTGGAGTTTTGAGGGATGGATCACGGAAATTTTGGGGTTAAAAATCGAGATTTTGGGGTTAAGCATTGGGGATTTGGGGGTTAAAAATGGAGAGGTTTTGGGTCCTGGAAGGGAAAAAAAATCGGAATTTTGGGGTTAAAAACCGGATTTTTTGGGGTTAAAAATCTGAATTTTTGGGTCTGAAAACGGGAAAATGTTGGGAATTTTAGGTTTAAAATATGGGATTTTTTGGGTTAAAATCCGGGAACTTTTGGGTTAAAAATCGGGATTTTTTTTGGGTCCTGGAAGGGCAAAAAAATGAGAATTTTGGGGTAAAAAAATGGGATTTTTGGGGTTAAAAATTGGAATTTTGGGGGTTAAAACCTGAAGTTTTGGGGGGTGGATCACTGAAATTTTGGGGTTAAAAATCGGGATTTTTTTGGGTTAAAATCCGGGAAATTTTGGGTTAAAAATCGGGACTTTTGGGTCCTGGAAGGGCAAAGAATGGGAATTTTGGGGTTAAAAATCGGATGGTTTTGGGTTAAAAACCGGAGGGTTTGGGGAATGAGTCCAGGGATTTTTAGGGGTGAATCCCTGAAATTTTGGGCTTAAAAATCGCGATTTTGGGGAAAAAAACAGGTGATTTTTGGGTTAAAAATGGGGGGTTTTGGGTCCTGGAAGGGCAAAAGAATGGGAATTTTGGGGTTAAAAATCGGATTTTTTGGGGTTAAATCCCCGCAATTTTGGGGGATGGATGCGGGGATTTTGAGCCTTAAAAATCAGGGGTTTTGGGGGTGAAAACGGTGAATTTTGGAGTGAAAAATCCGATTTTTGTCGCGCGTTCAACCCTCCGGCACCACGGACAGATCCCTCCCCTCACGCGAACAAAACCCTCCCAAAACCCTTTAAAAAAACCCCCCAAAAAAACCCCAAAAAACCTGAATTTTTCTCTTCTAAATCCTCTTCAGCATCTGCGGCAAGTCAGGCGAGAAATCCCAAGGAATTCTGAGGGGAAAATCAGGGGAAAAAAAGGAAAAAATGGGAAAAAAAGAGGTAAAAAATGGGAATAAACGGGAATGGAGGGGGAGGGAGCGGCTGCCGAGCGCCCCCTGCGGTTCCTGAGGGGAAAAGGGGGGGGAAAGGGGAATAAATCAACTTTTTTGGGGATTTTTAGGTTTTTTTAAGGGTTTTGGATGTTTCCTATTTTTTCCCAATTTTTTGCCATTTTTTCTCAATTTTTCCCTATTTTCCGCCATTTTATTCCCCTTTATTCCCCAATTTTCCCCCAATTTTTCCTCAATTTTCCCCCACTTTATTCTCATTTTTTCCCCATTTTCCCCTCATTTTTACCCAATATTTCCTCACTTCCCCCCCCCTTTTTCTCCATTTCCCCCTAAAATATTTCCTCTCTTCCCCCCCAATTTTTCCCCATTTCCCCCTAATTTTTTCCCCAATTTCCCCCCCCTTTTCTTCCACTTTCCCCCTATTTTTCCCTGAATTTTTCCACCATTTTATTCCCCTTTATTCCCCATTTTCCCCCCAATTTTTCCTCAATTTTCCCCCATTTTATTCACATTTTTCCTAATTTTCCCCAATTTTCCCGCAATTTTTCCACATTTTTTCCTAATTTTTCCCCAATTTCCCCCATTTTATTCCCCTTTAATCCCCATTTTCCCCCCAATTTTTCCTCAATTTCCCCCCACTTTATTCTCATTTTTTCCCCATTTTCCCCTTTTTTTTTTCCCATTTTTTCCCCATTCTCATTTTTTCCCCATTTTCCCCTTATTTTTTACCCATTTTTTCCCCATTTTCCCCCCAATTTTTACCCATTTCCCCCCATTTTTTCCTAATTTCCCCCCAATTTTTCCCCCAATTTTTCCCCATTTTTCCCCATTTCCCCTCAATTTTATTCCAATTTTTCCCCATTTTTCCCTCATTTTTCCCTCATTTTGTCCCAAATTTTCCAGTTTTTCCCCCCATTTTTTATGCAATTTCCCCCCCTATTTCCCCAATTTTTCTCCATTTCTTCCTCATTTTCCCCCAATTTTTCCCCATTTACCCCACATTTTTACTCAATTTTCCCCATAATTTTCCCCCATTTTTTCCAGCTTTTCCCCCATTTTCCCCCCATTTTTTCCGCAATTTCCCCCATTTTCCCCCGAATTTTTGCCAATTTCCCCCCATTTTTCCCCAATTTTTGCCCCCTGCGGTTCCTGAGGGGAAAAGGGCGGGGAAAGGGGAATAAATCAACTTTTTTTGGGATTTTTAGGGTTTTTTAAGGGTTTTAGATGTTTCCTATTTTTTCCCAATTTTTTCCCATTTTTTCTCAATTTTTCCCCTTTTTTCCGCCATTTTTCCCCAATTTTCCCCTCCAAAAAATTCCCATTCCAAACAAACCCCACTCTCACAAATTTATGCAAATAAATTCAAATGTATGTAAATCAATGCAGATTTATGGAGATTTATTCAAATCCTGCCACATTTGGGGAATCCCGGTGGGAATTCCGGGATTTTGGGATGGATCCAAAGGACAAAAAAAAATCGGGATTTTTTCCCCTATTAATTCCCAATTTTTCCCCCATTTTTTTCACCCAAAGGAGGCACAAAAATATCCCAAAAAATCCCTAAAAACCCCACAAATAATGCCTTAAAATGCCCCAAAAAAGGGCCCAAAAAACGCCAAAAACTCCCATAAAAATGTCCTAAAATTGTCCCAAAAAGGGGGAAAAATTCCTCAAAAAAGGGGAAAAAAGAGCCCCAAAATGTTCCCAAAAATGGGCACAAAATACCCTAAAAATACTCTAAAAAGATTGAAAAAATGCCCCAAAAATACACTAAAAATGCCCTAAAAATCCCCCCAAAATCCAAAAAAATTCGCAAAAAATTTCCAAGAAATCCCCAATTCAAAAAAAAAAATTCCTCAAAACATCCTCAAAAATATTTTAAAAAATTCCCAAAAAAATTCCCCAAAATTCCCAAAACGTCCTCAAAAATAATTTAAAAATCCTCAAGAATTCAAAAGAATTCACCAACAAATCCCCCCAAAAAATTAAAATAAATTTTAAAAACCTCCAAAAAATGCAAAACAAATCTCAAAAAATCCCGCAATTTGTCCCAAAATATCCCTAAAAAAATCTCAAAAAATACCCCAAAAATTCCCAAAAATAAAAAAATCCCCAAAATTCACCAAAAAGTAAAAAAATTTGGGGATTTTATGAGGATTTTGGGGGAATTTTTTTGAATGTTTTTACATTTTTGGGGCAATTTGGGGGGATTTTCTTGGAATTTTTGGGGGATTTTTTGGGAATTTTAAGGGAGATTTTTTGGATTTTTTATTATTTTTGGGGGAATTACTGAGGGACTTTTGGAGATTTTTTGGGGAAATTTTTTTTTTATTTTTGGGGCATTTTTGGGCCATTTTGGGGGCATTTTTGGGGGGTTTTTAAGGGTATTTTTGCGGGTTTTTTTAGGCTTTTTTGAACCATTTTTGGTGCATTTTAGGGCATTTTTGGCTCTTTTTTGGTCTCTTTTGGTCCCTTTTTGGACTCTTTTGAATCACTTTGCGATTTTTTGGGGTCTTTTGGGCCACTTTTGGCATTATAACCCAAATTTCAAGGATCTAATCCTGATTTTTTTGAGGCTTTCCATCCTTATTTTTTTTTTTTTTTTGGGGGGATCCAAATCCGGATTTTTTCTTCCAATCCCGCTTTTTTGAGGATTCTAACCCAAATTTTTGGAATTTTTGGGGAGATATTAATGGAAATTTTTGAGATTCCAACTGCCATAAGGATTGGGAAAGGGATAATGATAGAAATCCCCAAAAAATCGGGATTAAAATCCCAAAAATTGGATTAAAATCCCCAAAAAAGTCCTTCTCCCTCACGCCTCACCTGTCAATCACTCTAAAGCCACGCCCCTTCTTTGATCAGCCAATAAGAACACACGGAATGCGGGGCGTGGCTTACGAGTGATTGACAGCCCGCCCTCTTTACCCAACCAATGAAACCGCTCAAAACGCGGGGCGTGCCCTGTCAATCACCACCAAACCCCGCCCCATCCTCTCCTCAGCCAATCACGCCTCTCCTTCCCCCTCCGCTTCCGCCGCCATGGCCGCCGCGCCGCGCTGAGCCCCGGCCCCGCCGCTCAGCCCCGGCCATGGCGGCTCCGCTCTCGTAGCCGCCAGCGCCATGCCGAGCGGAGCCGCCGAGGCCAACGAGGCCGCCGAGCCGGCGCTGCTGCTCCTCCAGCAGCGCCTGCAAGGACTCGGCCTCCCGCAGCCCGGCGCGGAGGAGGAGGAGGAGGAGGATGATGGCGGCGAGGCGGAGCTGAGGGAAGATGAGGACGAGGAAGCCGCGCTGTTGTTGCCGGCGCTGCTACCGCGCGGCCTCGATGTTGCGGGCGGCCGGGGGATGATGGCGGCGATGCTGCCGCGCACCTACGGCGATGTCGGGGCTGCGGGAGGCGAGCAGGCGGCGCTGCCCCGAAGGAAAAGCGTCAACACCACCGAGTGCGTGGCCGTGCCCAGCTCCGAGCATGTGGCCGAGATCGTGGGGCGCCAGGGTGAGTGAGGGGCGCTAATGGCGGCGCTTGGGGCCGTGAGGGTCAGGTCCTGCTTCAGCTCTTCCCGCCTTTTTTGGGACCCTCAGAGCCGGGGTGGGACCCTCATCTTCATCTCCTGAGGGTCAGGTCCTGCTTCAGCTCTTCCCGCCATTTTTGGGACCTTCATACCCAGAGTGGGACCTTCATCTTCATCCCCTGAGGGCTGGGTCCTGCTTCAGCTCTTCCGGCCATTTTTGGGACCTTCATACCCGGGGTGGGACCCTCATCTTCATCTCCTGAGGGTCCTGACCCCTTCTCCTCTTCCCGCCATTTTGGGACTCTCCTGTCCCCTCACACCCCAGGATGGGACCCTCATCTTCATCCCCTCAGGGCTGGCTCCTGCTTCAGCTCATTTTGGGGACCCTCACACCCAGAGTGGGACTCTCATCTTCATCCCCTGAGGTTCCTTACCTGCTTCTCCTCTTCCCGCCATTTTTGGGACTCTCCTGTCCCCTCACACCCAGAATGGGACCCTCATCTTCATCCCCTGAGGTTCCTGACCCCTTCTCCTCTTTCCGCCATTTTGGGATCCTTCTGTCCCCTCACACCCCAGGATGGGACCCTCATCTTCATCCCCTCAGGGCTGGCTCCTGCTTCAGCTCTTCCGGCCATTTTGGGGACCCTCATACCCAGAGCGGGACCCTCATCTTCATCCCCTGAGGTTCCTGACCCCTTCTCCGCTTTCCGCCATTTTGGGATCCTTCTGTCCCCTCACCCCCCAGGATGGGCCCCTCATCTTCATCTCCTGAGGTTCCTGACCCCTTCTCCGCTTTCCGCCATTTTGGGATCCTTCTGTCCCCTCACCCCCCAGGATGGGCCCCTCATCTTCATCTCCTGAGGTTCCTGACCCCTTCTCCGCTTTCCGCCATTTTGGGATCCTTCTGTCCCCTCACCCCCCAGGATGGGACCCTCATCTTCACCCCCTCAGGGCTGGGTCCTGCTTCAGCTCCTCCCGCCATTTTTGGGGACCCTCATACCCAGAGTGGGACCCTCATCTTCATCCCCTGAGGTTCCTTACCCCTTCTCCTCTTCCCGCCATTTTAGGGACCCTCCTGTCCCCTCACAGCTCTGGGTGGGACCTTCATCTTCACCTCATTTTCTGTCCTCTCATCCTCACCCCCTGAGGGTCCTGACCCCTTCTCCTCTCCCCGCCATTTTAGGGACCCTCCTGTCCCCTCACAACCGGGGTGGGACCTTTCTGTCTCCAGTTAACCCTTAAGTAGGGACAGACCCGGCCCGTCTGTCCCCAAACCTGGCCTGTGTGTGTGCAATGAAGGATTGTGTCACTCTGTGTGTGTGAGCCGTGCTGTGAGCTCCTCATTTCCATCCTCTGAATCTGACCCTGGAGTTTGTAGTAAATCGGAGGTAGAGATAACAACGGAGATATGGAGACAGCGCTGTGGGGCAGGCAGGGAGCAGTGGGCGATGCAGCGTGTGGGGCAGGCTGGGGCTGAGCCTGGGGCTGGAACTGGAGCTGAGCGTGGGGCTAGGGCTGGGGTGAAGCTGAGAGTGGATCTGGGGCTGGGCTGGGGCAGGCAGTGTGGCGTTCTGCAGTCACTCGCTGTCTCTGTGGCACTGCCTGTGCCTCCCTGCCCCTGCTGAGCCCTCCCGGGGCTGCCCGGGACAATGAAACTCCTCCTGCTCCTCCTCCTGCTGCTCCTCCCCGGCTGGGCCGGCCCTGGCTCGCTCCCTGCCTGCCTGCGGGGCCCTGCATGAGCGGCCCCTCCTGCCCTGCTCCTGCCCCTGCTCCAGCTCCTGCCCCTGCTCCTGCCGGTGCCGCTGCTGCTGTGGAGTGTCCCCGGGCCTGGGGAGCCGGGGCTGGCCTGGGACGCGGCTCCGTGTGCCCGGCAGGGCTGGGGCGCCCCGCGGGAGCAGAGGGCAGCGAGCGGCTGCGGGAGCCGTGCTGGAGCCCCTCGTGCCAGCTCTGTGCCCCGCTGGCAGCTGGCTCAGCAGCTCAGCCAGGCGGAATCCCGGCGCGTTGGGAATGCCGCGGGCCTGCTCATTTCACACTGCCTGCTCTCCTGGTGCTCTGCTGGGTAAACTGGGTTCTTTGCCCCCCACCTGAGCACCTGGAGCGCCTCAGGGAAGGGCCCACTCTGTCCCACAGACTGCCATCCCGTCCCTAGACATCAAAGGGAAACATTCCACTGTTCTGATTTCTGTTTGGGGCAGCATTCCCTCGGGAGAGGAGGGAATCCCTGCTTGTGCAGTCCATTTGTGTGCTGGGGCGGCTGGAGCAGGGGCCCTCATCCCTCAGGGGATAGCGGGGTTTGGATGGCACTCCTGGCAGGGGGGAGGGCAGTTCTGGGGGGTTTGGGTGGCACTCCTGGCAGGGGCAGAGGGCAGTTCTGGGGGGTTTGGATGGCACTCCTGGCAGGGGCAGAGGGCAGTTGTGGGCGAGCTGCTGAGTGACTCAGAGTGTGGCACACGGACAGCCCCTGCTCCCAGGAAATGTTTGCTGGCTCCCAGGCAGCCGGGGTGCAGGGCTGGTGTGTCAGCAGAGCTCGGTGTGTGAGAGGCTCCTGCAGCGCCTCGCACAGCCGAGGGACACGCGGTCGGGGGAGAGGGGAATTCAGGGATCCCTGTGGGCACGGCTGGCACGCAGGGACCGTGGTGGCACTCAGCACCGAGGGTGGCACCGGGGACGCCCAGCGGGCAGCTCCTTGGAGTGCTGCTGAGCTGCAGCCCGAGCTGTCCCCGCTGCTGTCCCTGCCCGGGGCGGGGCAGCAGCTCGGGGGCTCTGGGGGTGTTCTCTCCCGTGGGCCGCCCACCGACGCGCTATGTTTCCCGCACAGGCTGCAAGATCAAGGCGCTGCGGGCCAAGACCAACACGTACATCAAGACGCCGGTGCGCGGTGAGGAGCCGGTGTTCGTGGTGACGGGGCGCAAGGAGGACGTGGCCACGGCCAAGCGGGAGATCCTGTCGGCGGCCGAGCACTTCTCGCTGATCCGGGCGTCGCGCGGCAGGGGCGCGGGGCCGTGCGGCGCGCCCGCGCTGCCGGGGCAGACCACGGTGCAGGTGCGGGTGCCGTACCGCGTGGTGGGGCTGGTGGTGGGCCCCAAGGGCGCCACCATCAAGCGCATCCAGCAGCAGACGCACACGTACATCGTGACGCCCAGCCGCGACAAGGAGCCCGTGTTCGAGGTGACGGGCATGCCCGAGAACGTGGACCGCGCGCGCGAGGAGATCGAGGCGCACATCGCCCTGCGCACCGGCGCCTTCCCGCAGCTCGGCCGCCACAGCGACTTCCGCGCCAACGGCACCAACGTCGGCCTCGAGGGCGCCTGGCCGGGCGCCCGCGCCCGCTCCAGGATGGTCTCCAGCTACCGCCACGACAGCTCCAGCTCCCTGGGCAGCGGCTCCACCGACTCCTACTTCGGCGGCAGCCGGCTGGCCGACTTCAGCCCCACCAGCCCCTTCGGCGCCGGCGGCTTCTGGATTGGGGAGGCGCTGCCGGCTGTGGGCGCGGAGGAGCTGGCGCTGGACTCGCCCGCCTACGAGCCCCTGCCCGCGCCCTCCCCGACCGTGTGGGCGCCCTTTGAGCCCGCGGCCGGGCTGGCCGGCAGCAGGGCGCCGTGCCGCAGCAGCCGGCCCCCCACGCCCCGCCTGTCGCCCACCTTCCCCGAGAGCCTGGAGCTCCCGCCGGCCGGGCGCGCCCGCGGCGAGGCACCGAGCTGCGGCCCCCCGCCCGGGCTGCCCGTCTGCATCCCCGCCTTCTCCAACGGTACCAACAGCTACTCCTCGTCCAACGGCGGCTCCGCCTCCAGCTCGCCCCCCGAGTGCCGGCGCAGGCACGACTGCGTCGTCTGCTTCGAGAGCGAGGCCGCGGCCGCCCTCGTGCCCTGCGGCCACAGCCTCTTCTGCCCGCAGTGCGCCGGCCGGATCTGCGCCCGCGACGCGCCCGCCTGCCCCGTGTGCCAGGCCGCCGTCACCCAGGCCATCCACATCCACTCCTGAGCCGCGCCGTGGGCCCGGGAGCGGCCACGCTGCCGGCTGACCCACGCCGGGCGGGCTCTGGCTCCGTGCGGGCAGCGGGGTTCAGCACAGGGGGACTGGCGATGCCATGGCACGCGCGGCGGGGTCTCGTCCATCACACACAGCTGGAAACAAACGTTGTGGGCACTACAAGGGCCTCTGTCGTGGCCAGGCCTCTGCTGGCAGCCTCGCCTCGCTGCCCCACAGGGATCACCTACCCTTGGCTACCCGCACTTCCAATGCTGCCTTCTCTACACTGCCAGTGCTCAAAGCAGGTTTGGGAAACTCCTTCTCTTCCGCGCTCTGCGCCCACTCACGCCTCATCCTCCAGCACAGCAAACAACTGCTCCCTGGGAGCCGCCGCAGGGCCGGGCCAGGGGCAGGGCCGGGAGCCCAGCCAGGGCCGTCGGGGTGTGTGATTCCCACGGGAATCGTGTCCCAGGAGCCTGCCCCAGGAGCCTGCCCCAGGAGCGCGCCCGAGGTCCATGATCCCGCGGTGAGGGTGCTGACATTCCGTTTGTCCGATCAAGCTGTTCTGAAATCACCTCCTGGTGAGTCTGCAGATCAGAATGTGACGCATCGTTATGTCCAGTCTTCGTCTTGCACATACCATA